TACAAAGATACAAAAAACCTTTGGAGCATCCAAACCACACTTTACGTAGTTAATGCAGAATGCAGAATGCACGATGATTCATACGCATGGATGTATCAGATAGGAGTGCCTCCAAAACACCAAATTGATGGTTTAATATTTATACGTATATAATACGAGTTGTTATTGTGCCCTTCTTTGTGACAGTAGAGTGATATAGTGATTTTAATTAGATCGGGGTGGAAGATAATCTTTTTTTTTTTTTTTTTTTTTTAGGCTTGGTGGTGACTACAACATCGAATAAGATGTTCTAAATGCCTGGTGACCAACACGTGCGATTGTTCTTGTACGGTCATGAGTGGCAAGTAGCTTTATATTTTCGTAGACCAGCACTTACTGAATATACTTTTGTGGGGTATGAAGACGTTCTAGCCTATTGGGGTGAACATGATGAGCACTCAACATTTATTACGATAACAGATCAGAATAACATATACATCCTCATGAGTAAGAGCATATTTCATTCTTATGACCTGTGAATATATCCTACCTTCTTTCCCTTTTCCTTTCTCTGTCATGAAGGTACCCTGGGGGGAGCAAATGACAAAGAAAATAAAAAAAAAAAAAAGTTTGTCTCTTGCGTTTAGCTCTGAGCAATAAATTCTCCGGTTAGTGATGGGTTTATTAGAAAAAAAGAAGAAAAATAAAAAAAAAAAAAAAAAAAAAAAAAAAAAAAAGCGCATCTTTTTTGAATAAGAAAGTAAGAGCAAGAGACGTCCTGTTTATGCTGTAAAAAAAAAAAAAAAAAAAAAAAAAAAGGAAAAAGAAAAGAGACGATGTGTCTAAGGTACTTCCCCACATGTACTGTGGCAAGGGATTGTAAACAAAGGACGTGGTATCGAGTACTGAACAAACCAAATGTTGGAAAGAGACTAAAAGTCATGGAGAACAGGCCTTTGAGAGATGAAAAGTCTGTTACTACTACTGCTACTATTACTCTACTACTACTACTACTACTACTACTACTACTACTACTACTACGACAACGACGACCACAGCCAGCGACGACAACGACGACAACGACGACAACGAATGTATATAATTATGATTATGATTACGATTATGATTATGGTTATGATTATGATTATGTTTATGACTTTAACCTTGACTTTGACTTTGACTTTGACTCTGACTTTCTTTGACTTTGACTTTGACTTTGAGTCTGACTAAAGCTTCTATTAACGTTACTGGGTATAGACTACGATCTTATTTCTACAATGACCGCAACTGAGGGTAGGCAGGGCAGAGATCGAGTATTGGGCAAAGAAAATGAGAAGGAGGAGAGGGATGTATAGGAGGGAGGACAATTGGCCTTTCCTCCTTCGACATACTTTATCCTTTTGAGGTCTGTTGAGCAGAAAAAAAAAAAAAAAAAAAAAAAAAAAAAAAACTTTTTTATGGTCTCGTTGACTATGATTACTTTTTAGGCAAGTGGGAGGGGGAGATGAAAAGGTTGAAATTATAGTTTCACTTAAGTTGCACCAGCGCGCACATGTTTATATCTATTGCCGTGCTCATTCCTCATAACGACTCTCATTTTTAGCTTTTATACAATGAATCAAAGATTGCTTCCAGACAGATTCTAGGATGGATAAATGAAAAAGAGAAATGATCAGTCTTTTGCTCAGACAGAGTGAATGCCTGTCTGTCTGCAGAAAGTTGCATGCATTTGCATAGAGGTTTCCCGTCAATGTTCTCAATATTCCATTCCAATTTTTTATTATAGCTATTATTATAGACTATTATTGCTATGCCACCTCCTTGGCCATCTCAATGAAGTAAATAAATAAATAGATAAAAATTAGCTTTCATATCCTCCACATAGTTCACTCCCCATAAAATACACGTTTATTGATCATGATAAAACTAGAAGAATAAAAAAATAAAAATAAAAATAAAGATAGACCGAAGGAATGTGATAGATCTTTTCTTTTTTTTTTTTTTCTTATTCTTTTGTTTTTTTTTTTCTTTTCTCTTTTTTACTTTTTTTGTTGTTACAGGTGACTATTTAGTTTATTTCAATTGACAAGGATAAGAAAGAAAAAAGACCAAAACGGGTAAGAAGAGCGGGCACGATGGTTAGCCAATGAGGAGAGAGAGCTGGTCTATAGTAGTTTGCACCTATAAGACGGAGGTTGATGTAATGTTGGTATATATTAAGCAGACTATTGTAGTGATTGAATACGATTCAGTCACTCAACAGCGAATGGACTGTTTTTTTTTATTTTATACTCCATCCCACAAATGAGAAGAAATGTATTTGATAATATTGTTATAGAGAAAGAGTTATATGTCAGGTACACATTGTTTCTCTTTCTTTACCAAATACACAAATAAATAAATAAACAAGTCAATCAATCGACAGAATACTCTATTGTATTTTACAACTGATAATATTTTTTTTTCTTTAAAAAGTAATTCAATAGTCAGTCTCTTTTTCTTTTATTTTACATATATATTTTCTATCGTTTTTCTTTTTCTTTCTTTCTTTCTATCTCTCTATCTCTCTCTCTCTCTCTCTCTCTCTCTCTCTCTCATTCTCTCATTCTCCCCTTCTCTTCCTCCCCTATTCACACCCATCGGTTTTTCTTTTTCTTTTTTTCCTTTCGTTCCCACCTTTTCTCGTCCGATCGAATTGGTTTCTGTTCAATCCAATTCAGTCTGTTACTCTTTCCTTCACTCTTACTTTTGACTTTTCATATAAAAGTCCTTCCCAAACCTTTTTTTTCTTATTTTTTTTTTCTTCTTCTCTCTTTTTTCCATTTAATTTCGTCTCCTTCATTCTCTCCTTTGGACGCTGATCTATTTTTTTTTATTGACTTTACTCTCTCTCATTCATTTTTTTTTTTTTCTTCCTTTATTCTCATTCCACTCATTACCCATCACTCATTCTCTTCTGTCATTCTCTCTTTCGTCCTTGTCGAATCTCACTCTTCCACTTGTACAGTTTCATTCCAAGGAAAAAAGAAACTATCTTTCTATTCTCAGCCAAAACTCAATCATATTCTTCCTTCATAAAGAGTTTAGTTAGAACCTTCATACATCGAAGGAGACTTTATTTCCTTCTTCTGTATACCACCGTTATTCTTTAGGATCTCCGTTGTCTCCTGATCCTTCCTTATCCTTCTGAATCTATCAGGTAAGAAATTTCAATTTCTTTTTTTCCTCCTCCATTTTGCAACCGATCAAGTAAAAGGTTACCATCCGGTTACGTCCGTTTGCATTATCAACCCGGTGACATCGTTCTTTGCTAGTATTTTTTTTTTTTTTTTTTTTTTTTTTGTTCTCAGGGGCATGGGTTTGGGCGATCACCTCTTATTTTCCATCCAACTTTACTTTCTGGACTCCTTTTTTTTTTTTTTTCCTTTCAATTTTCTGATCCACATACTTTCTTATCCATGTGTCTGTCTTTTCATTAAGAGAGAGGTAATGAGATTGGAACATGGGGTGCATGGTGCATGTATGTGTAATGAAGAAGAAGCTAAAAGAGTAATGTTGTGTATCTGGAACCTTTTTCAACCCCCTTTTCATCTCCACCCTACTTTTCCCTTTCGTCAATCACGAATTTCACACCAATTCCCGTTGGCCCAAAGTTTCCTGCCCGATCGATTTCAATCAGGGCTTTGGAATGGGGGGACAAGATTGAGGATTCACTCTGTGAGTGGCTAGGGGTCTTTTTTTTTTTTTTTTTTTTTTTAAAAAAAAAAAAAAAAAACTGAATTCTGGAACATGTGAGTACAAACATCTATGAAAACAAAAAGAAAGAGTAGGGAGAGAATGTGTGCAAAGAGTTCTGAAAGAAGAAAAGCGAGTGTGCGATTTTGACTGAGACCTTGGTCTGGCCCGTTTCTTTGTTTATTTTCCTTATTGTTTTGGTTGACAGTGATGATTGATTGTTGTGTGTATTCTCCTATTTTTTTTTTTCTTCTCTCTTCGAAACCCATGCCTGTGGTAACCTCATGTATGCATTTCCATGACACACGCATGTACTTTTTGTACACATGTCTTCATACACATTTCGTGTGCAACCCTTCTAACTTTTTCAGAGCATCTGGGGGAGAGGATTATAAAAAGAGCGAGAAAGAAAGGAAGATTTGTCATACGGACACGGATAGTGTGGGATTTTTTTTTTTATTTTTGTTGTGGCGCGTCTCTTTTGGTGATGTGTCCGGCGGAGCATATTTAGGACAGGAATGTTTCGTCATGAGAGCAAAAAGAGGTTTGGAGAGTGGGCGTGAGCGATAAGAGAGACATGCAATACATGAGGGGGGGAGGGGGAAGAACAATAAGCATGTGTTCAATGACACTGGTATATTAGCATTGATGCTGTCTAACAATCAGCAAAAATGGTCGGAAATGTTATCCATTGTGCGCTTTTCCTTCATTCATTTCCATCTGGTCTCCTTGGATGTGTAGTGTATTAGACGGCGCGTCCTCTAACGAAGGATGGGGAAAATGGGAGAAAAGTAAAATGTTTTTATTCTGATCTTTTTTGCATGCTGGATCTGCTGAAGAGAGCCTTTTTTTTTTTTTTTTTTTTTTTTTTTTTCTGTCTTGATCGACGACGTGAAAGCCATGCACACACATTTGCATACATTGCATACACACCTCCTTCCTTCTTCCTTTCCTTTCCTTTCCTTTCCTTTTTTTTTTTTTTTTTTTCTTTCTTTCTTTCTTCTGAGTGCTGCTTTCAACTCATAACTTGAAGAACCTGGAGACAAAAGATAGAGACCTTTCTTTTTCTTCCTTCATCTTTTCTCCATTTGTCTTGTAATCTGTCTTCATTTCTCATTTGCCATCAATTAATTGATTCAAATGGACAAACTCGTAATTTTTTACTGACTTCCTTTGCCACTTGTCTTTTTTTTTTTTTTTTATTTTATTTTTTGCTCACTTTTCTCTCATTAGTCAGTCCTCTTCCCCTTCAACACGTACCCAGGCACATAGATACTTCCTACATCATGAGCATTGTCGAAACCTTTCACGGCTATATCGAAACAACCCAAGACACTCTCCTCATCTTTGAGGCTTGTCGTCGTGGGCTTTTGCCACGCATCTGCCGTCGTCTGCAAGAAAAGGAACGTCGTATCGTTCAATCCGGTACCGTCTTTGTCTTTGACGAGCGTGAGTCAGGTATTAAGCGCTGGACTGATGGTCTCGTCTGGTCTCCCTCTCGTATTCTCGGCAATTTCTTGGTTTACCGTGAGCTTGACAAGCGCAACTCTGGCAAGAAAGATGCCTCCCCAATCGACCGTGCCTCGCGTTCGAGCTCATCCAGTGATGTCGAATCGGCCTTGGAGAAGAACAAAGAACGCGCCCTCGTAGGGTCCCTCACAAACAGCTACAGGTTCAAGAAGAACGGTCTGGTCAAGAAGACAATGTCTATTGTCGTCAACGGCGTCTCGCAGCATTTAATCTCGTATTATTCCAAGGATGATGTCTTGGCAGGCAAACTCCGCACGCCATCCTCCGTTCCTGAGCTTGCAAGCCTTGAGATCAGTCCAGATTTCTTGATGAAGCAGAACTTCCGTATCCCACCGACTGTTGAGCAGTCTTATGATCGTAAGTGGCAAAAAAAAAAAAAAAAAAAAAAAAAAAAAAAGCACCATTCGCATAATTATCGTAATCAGCAAAGAGGCATCCGAGCGCAGTCGCGCATATCATTATCAATCCATTTAGTTTATGGAAGGGATATTGGCGTTCGATTAATGATCGAATGAGATTTTGGTTGTTTGGTTGAAGGATAATTGCAATTTTCTCTCTCTCTCTCTCTCTCTCTCTCCCCCTCCCCCCCAGTCTCCCTTCACTTTTTAATTATTACGCATAATGATATTGCGACAACGGGAAGAGAGTGTGGGCTTTGAGTGACAGGAGAGACAGCAGGGGATGCGCACTTGCCTTTGAAGTGAGCAGATGACACGACGATTCTTCTCCCTCGACTTTGCTCATTTATGAGTCGTACAAAGAGAAGGGAAAAAAAAAAAAACGCATTTTGCAGATGACAAAGTGATGGCGCAACCTTTGGCAGAAAACATCCCTTTCTATACCGGTTTTTGATGCTCATCTTTTTTTTTTTTTTTTTTAAATTACTCTATTGTTCTTTTTAGTGAGCGATCATATGCAGTCGCCTGTCTCAAACAACCACAGTCCGCGTACTCCAAGTGGACCCTTTCACACTATGGGCGCCAACGGAGCCGACTTCACGCCCGCAGGCTTCAACGGCAACCATGTCCGTACAAAGACAGAGTCAGATCTTGTAGGATCATCACTGGATGTCTTTTCAAAGCCATATCATCATCAGCAAACCCATCACCACATGCATTCGCAACAGGGATACCATGGTATGACCCACTTTGGCGGACCACAGCACCATCACAACTCACATGCTTATAGTCCTCAGCATGCGACCTTTCCTCCCAATTTTTCGTATGGCTCTGTCCCAAACAGCAACGGTAGCTCGGTCACTAACCCTCAAGACCAGAGCTCGACCACGCCCCCACCTATCCGGTATCTGTCTCGAGGTCAACAGCAACAGCAACCTTTCATGTCGTACCCCTCCACTACTCAGGGTCAGTCACCACAATCCTCACAAACGTCTCAACAGCAACGCCATAGCATCTCACCTGGGCAGTACGGCGCAGGCTCGCCTGCCATGATGATGCCAAACTCCGGTAGCAACGGTCACATTCAAACACATGATTTTAATCTCCAGATGGGTTACCATTCGCCTGTGACAACGAGCCCCAGCACATTTAATGGTCTTTCTGGTGGTTCTCCTCAATCAAGCCATCCTCAGCCATCACATCATCATCATACTTCTCTTCCACCTACGACACAAGGGTGGAGCGACTTTGGTTATTCTTCTTATCCCACAGGTCCCATCTCTGACCATCATGAGCAGCACAATCACGGTAGCGCATCGCCTTAAGTGACAATTGGGTTTGATGAGAGCATCAGATGAAGTCGATGAAAAGGCCAATGGTAGAACGGGACACGTGCATATGAGCGTTTTTGTGGATAGACTTTTTTTTTATTTTCCTTCTCTTAGGAATCGAAATGTATTAGTTTGTCTTTTTGTTTGCTATTTCTTTATTATCATAGATCCCTTGAGCTTTTCTGTCAACAGAAAGAACAAGGAGCAAGTGTTTTTCATTATCATCATTTTCTTTTATTTTTTTTTTTTTTTCTTTTCTTTTCGTTTATAGTTGTTTTCTTCACGCTTTGAGTTTTTTTTTTTTTTTTTTTCTTCGTTTTTCTTTTTCATATTTGCGTTAGTTTTGATCTCACATCTGATTTTGAGGAGGCCATTAGAGTCAAATCAATGGCTCTTCTTGTAAAAAAAAAAAAAGACGCCCTTCACTTCATATAATCATTTTTGCTTATACAATATAATTTATAATTGTACCATTATATAATTCTGTCTTGTGTAATGTAATATATTATATATACATTTATACACTTTGTATTATTGTTCACATTTGGCTTACATTAGAGTTCATGCTGTGTTTTTGTTGATGAAGGACAAAGAATCCGAAAAGACATGTTGTTTTTGGCTTTTTGAGTTTGAACTGAATCTTTTTTTCTGCGCAATGTAAGGTTTTTTTTTTTTTTTTTTTTTTTTTTTGAACGATGTGGTTAAGTAAAGCAATTGTCTGAAAGAATCTAATATTTATATTATATAACTATGGATAAACAAACATACATGCAGGGCATGGCATTTTACAATGAAAAGAGAACAATTTCCTCAACACTCAGTCTTGGTCCGTTGAAGAAAAAAGATTTAAAAAAAAAAAAAAAAAAAAAAAAAAAAGTTAAGAGCTGTTATAGTTCTGTTATGCTTTCGCGCCATCTAGGAAGAACCTTTTTTTATCTTTTTTCAAGTGGTAACAGGGGTAGAACTAAGCCACACAGTAGGCCTTTTATTAAAAAAGTGAAAAGTAACCCCCCCCCCCCCCATCTCCCTTTCTACCTCCCTAAACATCCCCCCTTCTCCATCCCCTTCTCCGTCCCCTGTCCATCCCCTATCCATTCCTTTTCCAAAAGAAAAACGATGGCTTTCCGGATACGAATAAATATTTGAGTTTATATGGACTGAAAAGTTAAATAGAGAGTTTTTTTTTTTTTTTTTTTTTTTTAATAAAAAAAAAAAAAAAAAAAAAAAAAAACTACATGTATAAGATTCACAGTTTGAAAACAGTAATGATATTTAGTGTTTCTATACAATGTTCACAAATAGCTATCGCCTTGGGTGTCAACGGTGGATCAAAGAGATCGTTATAGTTTCGAAAACATTGTGGGTGCACGTGCCATTTTATTTGAGTTTGTCTAAGTAACATGTAAACTGAGCTCAAAAGGAGACCTAGAAAAATACAAAAAAAAAAAAAAAAAAAAGCTATGGTGGGCCATGGAGTCAAATTGAGAGGGAATGACATTTGATTCCACCACATTTCTATCGAGAACCGATTGAGAGGTTTACAGGGCCCAAAGAAAAGTACACTTAATAGTAGATTATCTAAAGCTGTAGCTTATTATATATATATATATATATTTTTTTTTTCCCTTCTTCTAAAAGTACTCCATAATCGCCAGGGTAACCTTGTTAACAAATGATTGAACTGGAAGTAAGAGTGACAATATCAATGCTAGGCTTAAGTATGACGGTTGTCTATTGCTTAACTTGCTTTTTTGTTCATCCATTTATTTGCCTCAACCCATGAAATGCACTCGAGTATCGCAATTATCTACACTACTTTTCCTTTTTGGGTTCGTCTGTGCTCAGGGCATGCTTAATCTTGTTGTCCAACTCTGGACTGATAGGATTCAAAACCTTTGGCTGATTCTCCCACAAAGATTCAAGTCGCTTCTGGATTTCTCCAAATGTCTCCCAGGCTGACAAACCCTCGCTCTCGGACAGGATATACTTGTTGTCCTGAACAGTCTGCGTCCCAAATTGACGAGTGCTTGTGTCAGCTTTTGGAACTTTACCATGATCATAGACGACCTTCAAGTGGTTCTTAGGATGTGGCACGCCATCTGCCCTGCGTGGACCAACCGTTAATTTCTAGTATGTATTGTTGTTATCATTGGTACGGTTAGTATCAAAGTGATCCAATAAGTCGCTTTGCAAGCATATCAGGAACATGCCATGAGTTTAGTTCAAGCTTGGGAAATATTGGATGTTTTGTGGCTACTTACACCTCCCTCGTTGGTATAGACATCCAGAATGCCAGGCAAACTGATCTTGCCAGCGTCATCCTTTGGATGCTTCATGACATCTCTAAAAGACGTCCACCCCATGAATTGATACCAGATTTCGAGTTAAAGAAGGAAGAGTTAATACATTTTTTCCCGTTCGACATTATATATAAATCAATTTTACATCATCGTATGAAATATAACATGTTTGTATATACCTTGGAGTGCCATCAGCGTATGTGATATGAGATAACTTGGTCGCAAAAGATATAGTATCACGGTTAAGCTTTTGCAAGAGGCCACTACCCATACCGAAGGCTACATTTTCAGCAGCGTAGCCCTCCGCCAGGGTTGCATCCAAGATACGGCGTAGGGATTCATAGCTTACGCCATCTCCTTGAATGACACCACACCCCCGGAGAACCTTGTAGCCTTTCTTATTCTTGTCAGAACCGAACACCTTGTCAGCAGCGCTATGAATATTTTGCATTGTATAGGCATATTAAACCAAATTAGGCCCGTATACGCCATCAGAAATATTTTTGTCCGCAGTTTTCTTTCCCATTCCATTCCAAGTACATTAACATGGTCCAAATCAATTTACCGCAATCCCGCCAAAACAGCATCCACAATATCCCCACTGTCTGGGCGAAGAACCAAGAAGCCATTGGCACTCTTATCGACTTTGAATTTCGCAACCGCAGGTAAGACTGAATCCAATGCATATTGGTAATCATACGAGTCCATCACACAGGCATAAATGCCGTCCCCGAATTGCTCAATCATAGCCTCCATGGCCTCCTTTTCGGTCTTGAACGCCATCATCACAGAATGCTCACTCGCGGGAATTGAGCTGGCAATAGGTTCGCCTCTGTTGAGATAAAACTGAGCATGGAATGCGGCCGCCATCGTATCTGTTCCTGTGAAGTTAAGCTTTTTTTTTTTTATATAAAAAAAAAAAAAAAAAAAAAAAAAAAATGAAGCCATATATAAATATCAGCAACGCTGGTAATGATTGCCCATACGCAATTATCCCTATTATGTTCTCTTCCTTTCCTTGATACATCAGTTAAAATGTATATTATATACCAAATGTGCAGAGCCCCCTAGGATAGCTTGATCAACACTGGTGCAGCCTCGGAATCCAAAATCATGCAAACGGCTGTTCAGTGACCAAAAATTGGCCTCATCCACACTCTTCTCGTACGCAGCTTTGATAATATCCTTGGAGCGTCGAGAGAGTGTCGCAACAGTCATGGGGTACTTTATTGTTGTTTTTCATATTGTTTAAACCGTGGGAAGAGAAGGATATTTAGCAAAGTTATTAGACTGGCATTTTAATTTTCATGAAGCAGCTACATTATTGTTCATCGCCACAATTCTTTTTTTTTTTTTTTTTTTTTTTTAAAAAAAAAAAAAAAAAATTACCCATATCATGGTCAATATTGTCTCCAAGAATGTGACAAATCGACTCATCTCGCCCTCTGCAAAGATCTGGAAGACTGGAACATGTGGGTGTGCCACAAACCCTTCAGGAAGAGCCTCGATTTTAACAGGGAAGTAGCCATTATGCTCATGAACAATCTAAAATGGATGGAGGATAGAGAAACCAGGGCATGCTGTTAATTTTAAAGTTGAAAAGTTTACGCTATCCGATTCTATTTTTTTTTTTTTTTTTTTTTTTTTTTACTTTGCCCATCATTATTACAGAAGTTTTTTTTTTTTTACCTTCATGAAAAGATCTTTTGGAAAAGGAAAGGGGGTGAATCCTGCATTGTGTGTACTGAAGAACAACTCTGCTTGAATAACGTCCTCTTCAGTCCATTGCTTAGCAACATAGTTTTCAATACTTCAAATCATTGTATCCAATAACCACATTATCAACAGCAGAAATACATGGTATAGATGCACATATTAATAAAAAAAAAATTCAAAAAGGAATATTTAGTATTTTAAAGAAAACAAAAAGAAAAGCACTTCAAGAAGTAATAATTGAAGCTGTTTTTTTTTTTTTTTTTTTTTTTTTTTTTTTAAAAAAAAAAAAAAAAGATATTTACAAGTGGCGGATGCCATAGACGACAATACGGCTGTCTTCTGTGTCTTTGTCATAACCGTGACGCGCCTCCCCATAGGCAACCATCTTTTGTGCCTCGGGATAAATAAGAGGGTGCGTCACCTTGTAAGAGTCGGTTAGGACTGCAAAGGAAATGGGAAACGGCAACGTGGATGACAATGGCATTTTTTTTTTTTTTTTAGGATGGGAATAAATGATGATGCTACAAAAAATGCAAGAAAGAAGAAAAGAACAAAGCACTTTGTCCTGAAGGAACAAAGTCAATAAAAATAAAAAAAAAACTTTTGTGGCCATCAAACCTGATGCAGCGAATCGCAATTTTTTTATTATCTTCCTTTGTTCAACCTTGGTGTCATCGCCAGTGTCAACAACATTGGCACAATTAGCATGTAAATGCCAATTGTTCATCTGCATAGAACTTGTTCTCTCTCTCTCTCTCTCTCTCTCTCTCTCTCTCTCTCTCTCTCTCTCTCTCTCTCTCTCTCTCTCTCTCTTCTCTCTCTCTCTCTCTCTCTCTCTCTCTCTCTCTCTCTCTCTCTCTCTCTCTCTCTCTCTCTCTCTCTCTCTCTCTCTCTCTCTCTCTCTCTCTCTCTCTCTCTCTCTCTCTCTCTCTCTCTCTCTTTCTCTCTTTATCTTTCCTCTTTAATGGCATCTCTATTGGAATGTCTATAGTATCTACAATATGTACACTAGCTTCAATCATGGGTTTATTATGTTCAACAGAAGGAGATTCCACAACCGAAGAAGACTCTGCAGTTCCATCATATTACAGCCAATGTGCCTGTTGGCTGATCCACAAGACAAGATTGATTCTAATAGCTCTGTTCTCTAAGTCCATATTCTCAAAGATTATGTTCCTGCCATCCAGAGATAACAAGTCAATTGATACGAGCAGTTTTGTTTAAATGTTTATAAATTTTTTATAAAAGATCGTTTTAAGTAAAATAAATGAGGAAAACTCTCGCGTAATCCAAGCAGTAGAACTTGGTCTCCCTGCCAAATGATGAAGATCCAAAGACCTTCATACCCTGTGGAGGGTTCGACTTTTGGTAGATGTCATCAAGGGTCAAGCATACAATGCTTAACCTTGTTGGCATCGCTAAACTCCTTTGAGCCCCTTGCTCCTTAGAGGAGTGCCGCTTCAGCAATGTAGATCTGGTGGCTTGCTTCGGTAGTCGCAACACCATCCGCCTTCAGCGCGGCCGTGCCATTGCTTAGTCCAGCAATGGACCTTTCCATGCTCGGCTGCTGCTGTTGACCAAGCTGAGAGCTCCGCGTATGAAGTACCAGATTAGAGACCCTCAAGCTTCCCTTTCGTTGAGGTCATCGGGAATACCATCGGAGAGCTTCAGGTATAGCTCATAAGCGATGAATGCCCTCAAGATGTATCGGACAATGGGGTCTTTTGGGTCGTGGTTGCAGATCGGCTCCTTAGACTGGTCATACGTCTTGATCCCCGCAAACACGGCCGAGCAAACTGAAGCAAAGCCTTGTTTGCTTCCTCCACCTTATGGTAAACAGCCATAGACTGTTTAGCGCTGTCACCGTGGCCTTACCATACATGAAGTGCAAAAAAGACCCCGCTGTTTGCTCATCCAACATGAGGTCCATGACAAAATGTTTACCAATCATGCTCTCCTTCTCTGCGGCTGTGAGGCGGTATTAGGATAACATGCTTACAAAATCGAAGCCTCGCCACGGCCACTTCACACCCTACTTCGATGCTTTGAATAGTCGCTTGTCGTCCGCGGCCGTCCTTGCCTTGCATCAAGGCTTCTGCTTTTTTTTTTTTTTTTTTTTTTTTTTTGCTGCGGTAGCTAGGAGGAACGATCTCTTCGCACGGCGTCTCTCCAGGTCTCTCCAGTGGTCCTCTACTTATTTCCCGATCTCCTTTAAGCTGCGCCTCAGCGTTCTTTTAGTTCTGGACGTTACTCTTGAGTCCTCTAAAAGAACCGTAATTGCCTCCTCTGTTTCTTTTTGGTTCGTCTGAAATTTCTCAATAAATGATTGGATCAACAAGTCAGCTGAATTCAAGGCCCAGTTAAAGTGGGACGTTTCCGGTTGTTGAGATGTCATGTTGAGTATAAGGAAGATACAGATGGATGGTTTAAGTGATAGGCTTTTTCAATCATAGACGATTTAAGAATAGACGATTTGAGATAGAGAAAAGACGATTTGAAAAAAAAGTTCTGCGCTACATAATAAATAGAGCAAATGTGGCGCAGCTCTAAAGCTGTAGACTAAACATCAAATGAGTTGCGCTGTCATGAATGTTTTTTCATTTTTTTTGAAAAATCTCATTATTCGCAGCTATGCAAATACTGAATCCTCTCGCTATAAATGCCCTCCATATTCATAGAATATTCTCGAATACCATGTTAAAAAAAAAAAAAAAGGAAGGCCCAAGCTCAAGCTCATGTGAAAATGACGAGTATATATTCTCGTTGGTGATTTTATCTCTCTCCATCCTTCACCTTTCTTCTTTATCGTCTTTCCTCATGCTTTTCTGGACTTGAGTTCTCTCCCAAGGTAAGGTACCTACCGAAGTTGTTGTCATGCCGGGGGACAATTGGGGTATTCGCTGCAGTGACTTCCATCACCCACCTACTGTAGTTGTCCCACTAAACGAAGCCAGATGCATTTATTTCTAGAGTCTTTGCGTGTCCCAACTGGTCAGGCAATTATAGTGGTGCATCCATTTTGCCCTGGTGCGATAGCAGCTGTTCTGGCAGGTGCTTTACCTTGAGAAACGCGTGAGGAAGGGTTGGTGGCAAAAAAATGATTTGAGTGTGATATAAATATATAGTGTGATGTATGACTGATGGGCGACTTCATCTGAAATCATTTTTGTAATATTCATATCACTTAACAAAAAAAAAAAAAAAAAAAAAAAAAAAAAAATAACTTGCATGTTTCTGACTCTTTCTTCCTTTTCCAACAGCCTTTGGCATCCTGCTCAAAGCTTCCGTTGGCCACTTTCCTTCAAGCCCTGCCATCCATGTCCTTGCTCAGCGCCCACAGTATCCGCCCGTCCCTGCCTTGGTTTGCTTCGATGTTTCTGAGGTTTATTGGCAGTTGCGGCAGGTATGCAGATTGGTCTCTTTTCCTGACATCGAGCTTAATCCTCCTCACCAATTTCCTCGACTATGCCTCAGTTCTCTCTTGGGGTTGGGCTTCATTTTCGGGTCTTCTAATGGGTTCGTGAAGCTTCTTCTGTTTCTCTTTTATTCGTATGAAATGTATGAGCAAACAAAAGAAGCTATCACGTTACTATTAGAAGATCCAAAAGTGAAGCTCAATGTCAAACGAAGAGTGAGGCACAGTCCTAAGGAAAATGGTGAAAAGATAGACGGCCACCGGAGAGTCATCGATGAAGCTCGACGCCAGAAAAAGAGACCCATCCGCATGCCTGCCGCAGCTGCCAACAAGTTTTAGAAATGTCGAAACAAGTCAAGGCAAGCACAGGTGGATGCTGTAGATGCTGAACGAGGAAACAAGTAGTAGGGTGGACTCAGCGGCGCCAAGAATGTTTACCGGTCCAAGTCTGGTCTTGCCTGAGGCGATATTGAGGGTTGCGGTGCCTTTACTGTCTACGCCGGACCAACCAGCAAACAGACAGTGACTGTTGACTCCAATACCGACTGGGATATTCGCCTCGGCTTTGTTCTGCCATGTTCATGAAGGACGTCAAGGTGTTTAGGAATGCCATATTATGGTAAGCTACTGTTGTGAAGAATCTTTTTTTTTTTTTTTTTTTTTTTTTTTTTTTAATTTTACACATTTATCAGGCGTATAGCTGATATGGCTTATTTTGTTCTGTATCGTAAAAAAAAATCCAGTTCGCCCTAAAGGCCTTAATGGATGGGAGAGCCGTGACACATTATACGCGAAGCACTCAGCTTCCTCAATACCAAATCCCCATGCGCGAAGAGGCTCATCATAGGACTTATCGAAGGCGGTGCAGCCATTACCGAGACAGATCGGGAAAGAAGTAGAGGACCACTGGAGAGACTTGGAGAGACGCCGTGCGAAGAGATCGTTCCTCCTAGCTACCGCAGCAAAAAAAAAAAAAAAAAAAAAAAAAAAAAAAGCAGAAGCCTTGATGCAAGGCAAGGACGGCCGCGGACGACAAGCGACTATTCAAAGCATCGAAGTAGGGTGTGAAGTGGCCGTGGCGAGGCTTCGATTTTGTAAGCATGTTATCCTAATACCGCCTCACAGCCGCAGAGAAGGAGAGCATGATTGGTAAACATTTTGTCATGGACCTCATGTTGGATGAGCAAACAGCGGGGTCTTTTTTGCACTTCATGTATGGTAAGGCCACGGTGACAGCGCTAAACAGTCTATGGCTGTTTACCATAAGGTGGAGGAAGCAAACAAGGCTTTGCTTCAGTTTGCTCGGCCGTGTTTGCGGGGATCAAGACGTATGACCAGTCTAAGGAGCCGATCTGCAACCACGACCCAAAAGACCCCATTGTCCGATACATCTTGAGGGCATTCATCGCTTATGAGCTATACCTGAAGCTCTCCGATGGTATTCCCGATGACCTCAACGAAAGGGAAGCTTGAGGGTCTCTAATCTGGTACTTCATACGCGGAGCTCTCAGCTTGGTCAACATCAGCAGCCGAGCATGGAAAGGTCCATTGCTGGACTAAGCAATGGCACGGCCGCGCTGAAGGCGGATGGTGTTGCGACTACCGAAGCAAGCCACCAGATCTACATTGCTGAAGCGGCACTCCTCTAAGGAGCAAGGGGCTCAAAGGAGTTTAGCGATGCCAACAAGGTTAAGCATTGTATGCTTGACCCTTGATGACATCTACCAGCAGCCGAACCCCCTGCACCATATAGATAGACATAGCGCACGCGATGACTTAGAATACTACTGGTGTGGCACAGACGATATCATACAGTTATATGAGACGTCGTCTGACCTGAAAATAAAGACCCTTCTCTTTGTCCTATTGAACTTTAGTTCGTATTACATAGTAAGTTTATATCAATTAGATTAAAACAAATGATAGGACTGACAAGTCCTCAGTAGCCTTTGCTTAGCTGAAGTATGAGAGTTTTGCCTATCGAGATGCTATGGTGAAGATAGAGGAGATGCAGATAGAAGATTTGAACGATAGACGGTCTATGTATACAGTAGATAATTTGAGAAGAAAAAAGACTAGAAAACCAATCCTAAAAAATGATGATGCTCACCTCAGCGCTTCTTGGTTTAAGCAAGATCTCTATCTAAAGCAATAGGCCGTTGGAATTCTTTTACCCACTGGTGCGCAGCATGGGCCATGCTCTGGCTCGTACTATCGCCAGATGTCAGGAAAAGAGATCCATCTGCATGCCTGCCACAGCTGCCGATACACAGAAACGTCGAAACAAACCAAAGCAGGGACAGATGGGTTCTGTAGACACTGAACAAGACACAGGCAGTGTGGCTCGAAGGAAAGTTACCAACGAAAGCTTTGAACAGGGTACCAAAGGCTGTTGGAAAAAGAAGAAAGAGTCAGAAACATGCAAGTTTGTTTTTTTTTTTTTTTTGTTTTTTTTTAGTGATATGAATGAATATTTCAGAAATGATTTCACATGAAGTCGCCCATCAGTCATACATATTTATATATCATTTTTTGCCGCCAACCCCTCCTCACGCGTTTCTCAAGGTAAAGCACCTGCCAGAATAGCTGTTATCGAACCAGAGCAAAATGGATGCTTCACTATAATTGCCCGCTCGCTAACCAACAGTTAATGCACCAATAGAAGCCAGACGCATTTGTTCCTAGAGTCTTTGCATGGTCACTTGCCCCTCGTAGGCACAGCGCAAAAAGTAACTTTTATCTATAACATGCTCTTTTTTTTTCAAGAAAAAAGCTCTTCTAGATCACGCTGGCTTTACTTTATACATTTACATCAAAATTTTACATGTCGCATAGACCCGTCTGCAGTATTCTTAATCATTATTGATAAAAGGACCAGTGGATATATAAAATGCTGTTTAGAAGCATAAACTTTAGTCCTCCTAGCAGATCATTAGAGGATCTGCTAATAATGGTACCCGAACCAGCATTTGTGATGAGTAGTAACACATCAATTCTCATTGGAATTATCTGAGGCATGGAGGATGTCTCGCCTGTATTATCTAAAATAAATATCCTCTCTAAATGAGTACTGTAGGCGATTGATGGTCGAAAAAGTTCATGCCATTTGGGTATTAACATTTGGGCACTTTGATGAGTGCTCCTCTTTGTCTTTATAGTCACAGTTGCCCTGTGGGCTTTACATGTTTGACTTCTGGTTCTGGACAATCATCATCATTTGCCACATATGGAGAAATGCGTTTGAGACATATAGCAGGCTTTTATATCTACTTGTGGAATATAAACCAAAATGAGAAGAAAAAAAAGAATAGTCTAACGGAACCTGACAACGACGTAAGGGACCTCAACGTCCTGCTTATTACGATCGTAGCAGACTACCTCAACTGTGTGCGCCTTGACATGAGGAGGCGTAGACTTCTTAGAAACTGTCTCGACTAGCTTAGAGAAGGGCATGGTCAAGCGTTCTTCCCTCTTGTCTTTAGGCATAAACGACGTGTACAACATACTCACGCCTGCAGAGACCATTGCAATATCGAGCTCATGCTTTTCCTTGAAGTAGTTGAGGAACTCCCGCAGTGTCAAATCCTCATTGATCTCAAAGCGATCCCACAACGTAAACTCAGTCTCATGGTATTTGAACTTGGGTGCAGCAATGGGTTCAGAGAAGCCAAAGAATGGTAGTGCCAAGTTAACAAATCCATTTTTGTAATCATCAATCTTGGTGCGGTTATCGATCAACTTGTACAATTCCAAGCAAACTAGGCCTGTCACCATGGCTGTGGTCGTGGCAATAGCAGGAATGATACGACCTGCAATAAACTTGGTACGATGTTTATCTGCAGGCGTAATGCCATAGTTCGCTGCACGCAAATTCGACGTTGCAGTGATGAAATCAATATGGAAGTTGGTATCATCATCCTTCTCAAACTCAACGGGATGGAGACGGTATCCAGCCAAGGTAGATGGTGCAGGCAAGGTATCAATCAGCTTTTGAAGCTCAGCCTGGTCACTCTCTTCCGTTGGCATGTTTTCATTCTCATTCACCTGGATTTTGACACCCGACTTGGGCTTGAACTCAGGAACAACCAAAGTCGAAAGAGCCTGGCGGAAAACTTCAGGATTGGTCTCGCCCTTTAAGCCATAATTGAAAGCATGAAGGTTGGCAGCTGCGATAATGAACTCCAAGTGGCTAGGATCATCAATGTTGAACTCCAGAGGGGTAGGGGCGCGCTTAGGAGCACTCCAGAAAAGAGTCCCTGACGAAGTGACAGAGTCCTTGGGGAAGTTGAATAAGAGTTGCTGAATGTTGTTGTTGAACTGTTCCTCAAACTGGAGGCGGGCCCAGGTGATGCACTCCTCAAAGGTCAAGGGTTTATTGGTTACAAGGTATTTTTGAATAGTCTTCAGAGTCTCAGTGCTGTTGCCACGATCCTTCAACAAGCCCTCAATGTAGTTAGGTTGACTAAGATAGAGGTTAACATTTTCAGCAGGCTGCTTGAAGAATCCTTCGAAGGCATCACGAGCCCACTGAATAGTGTGCTCGATAGCGTTGGGGAAGTTCTTGAGCGTGCACAGAGGGATCGAGGTCTCTGGTGGATCTTGAGAAGAAGAATAGGACTCTGTAACAAATGGAACAACCACTTGCACATTACCTTTGGTACCGAGTGTACCAGATTCCAAGAGAGACTTGCGAAAGTAGACGCAGCGTCTGTCCATGTATTTACGTGCATCAAGGTTGTCAAGGGCATTCGTAACACCATCAAGATTGGCAAAGAAATCATCGCCGTAGACCTTCTCACTGTCAACGCCCACACGCTCCTCATAAGCTTGGACATGGCCCACCGTAGCAGGGTTCATTTTGGCAATAGCCTCAGCGGCCGAGCGAGACTTCAACTTGCCAACATCTGCTGGACGGAACAGGAACTGACGGTTCAGATTACTCTTTTCAATAGTGTCCATGTCAGTAACATGAATCATGCCCTTAGGTCCAGTTCCAAGACCCATCATGGCCCAATTCTTAAGCATCTCGCATCCGATTGCTCCTGCTCCAACCAAGAACTCCCTAAAGTTTTCAATTCTTTCCTGGAATTCCTTGCCAAAGACAGCGATTTGGTTATCGTGGCGAGAGCCAATGGGTTGGCATGCCTCCTCGGTCAAGGTGATTGAAGTAGGCAAAGATTCAAGAGAGTCAAAATACATCCACTGATGGATGGGGCTGAACTTCCCTGTGCATGCCTTAAGAACTTCCTGAGCCACAGTTCCACCAATAACAGCAACCATTGGTGATAAATCTCCAACAGCCTGGAAAGCAAGCTCTTGGATAAGCTTCTCATCTAGCTCAGTCTAATCAAGAATATCACAATAAATTACATTGGCTTAGTCTTTGCACCAATATGAACATGTTACTCTGCTCAATATGCAATTTCAATGACAAATAATATACCTTCTCTGGTGCCTTATCATTGATCTCATTGGCAAGGGCCCAAACCTGTTTAGCATCCTCAACATTCCTGGGACGTGGTTGACGACCATTCTTGGTAGTAAAAGAATGGAGTGCCTGGAACCCGATGTGAAGTTGTGCAGGACGATCAAACTTTCCATAATCTGTGGTCAAGAACTCAGGCTTTTGCAAGGAATCCTTAAGACTAGCCTATTATTATTATCATTATTATTATTATTATTATTATTATTATTGTTTTTTTTTTTTTTTTTTTTTTTTTAAAAAAAAAGGCGCGATGTTAAGCAACATGTCCATTGAATGTTAATTTTGAAATTTAAAAAGAGTAAAAATTATAACTTACAAAGTCAACTAGCTTAGGCATCTTGACCTGCTGGAAGAGGCCTCCACTGACATAGGTTCCCAAGCCAGATGTGTCACCAATAGAAAAGGTGTATGGGCCAAGCACCTTAATCTTCCTTGGTGCGCAGCCATTGAGTGCCTCCATACCAACCACCTCAACAAACGTGACATGATCGCCATCCTCTAAACCATGACGCGTCTCATCCAAGCAGGTAACAATGCCCTCCTTATCTGATGAAATCTCAGCCACCATTCCAGAGAGTGCCTCTTCACCTGTAACGTCGACAACATGGAATGCTCTGCCGAAATCATTGAAGGCTGAAGCAAAGAGACCATGGATCTCGGCTGAAATGAAGTGGATTCCATGGACATGTGTATACTCGTTGATCTCTAGTTGCTTTTCTAATGATGTCTCGGTCACAACCACGACCTGGCCAAGTGTGAATATGAATGGTGGTCAGATAATTTGCTTACAATTCCTTAATACACAAAATACCGATAGTTTGTCCTCATAATACCTTGAATTGTGACAATTTGTCTGTAGTCAGCTCTCCTTCCAGAATACGAACAGGCACATATGCATTCAGCTCTGCAAGGCGTGGCCTAGAGACAACATCGCGAGGCTGACCAACATCCTCTTTAGTTAGGAAGAACTATTCCATAACAAATAGAAAAGTATTGTTGTTGAATAAACGGGAGTTGTCAGTATTCTTGTCGCCTCCATCTCTTTTGAGCTCAAAGATAAACTGAAGCTGATAATATTATTTTTGATTTACCTGAGTTGACAAGTCAGAAAGTTGAACTGGGGCAGGGTCATAAAGTGTAACACTCTTAACACCAGCAAGGACAACGTTTTTGGCTGTGCAAAGCAATCGTTCCCATGACAAATCACATATTACCTGTTAGTAACACACATAAGCTTGCTTGGGTGTTATCAATAAGTATAACAATGACCATAAAACAGAGCATGAGTTACTTACCGATTTCGATTCCCAGACCCTTGAGACCGACAATCAAGATGTTAGATGTACCCATCTTCTTCATGGCCTCATGACCAAGAACATATCTAATGTATTCAAGCATTGATGAATGAGCATCATGTATAATGCGTATCATTCCATAGGGCCAAATGAACAAAGTGTAAAAAGCATATGTGAAGCTGCCATGACTAGAAAGGTGATCCGCAGTCGTCGGGGTAATGTCCAAAAGAAAATGTGTGGCGTTCGATTGAGTTCCATGGAGCTGTGACTAGGCTATCGTACTTACAATTGACGCGAGTAAAGACTCTCGTCGATGACATTTTCCTTTTCAACGTCCATACTGAATATGATTGAATTGAAGGGTTAAAAAAAAAAAAGTGAAATAGAAGAAAAGAATTGACAAATGACAAATGACAAATGACAAGTGGGAAAGAAGAAAAAAGAACCATGGCATCTGTACGAAGTGAGGGATTTCTTATATCGAAAAATCGAAGTCACGCTCCTTCCAGAGAAATATTAAAATACGTATAATGATGACGGCGGTGCTAGCCTTGTTCGCTATACCAGCTAATACGTGGATATTCAGTGATGACCACGGACTCAAAGATCCTGGATAGGTACAATCAACCCTTCTGACACCGCATCTGAGACTTCACGAAGGCAAAAGAAAAAAGAAAGCAAGAACAGCCAGGGAACCGAAGCAGTTCTTGACAGAGTAAAAGAGTAAAATAAAATGCGATCACACAGGGTTGTTTCCGCCATTGGGCTGAAAAAGCTTCCAAGCCTTCTTAAATATATTCCATCTTAGGAGCCAAGTCGGCTTCAGTAACCATTTTTCTCACACAAGTGCTCAATTGTCTGGCCTAGATCTCATTGGATCACGAGGATAGCAACGTGCATATCAACGAGTTTGAGAGCCCATACGCGTTATTTCAATACAGAAAAACCTAACAGTGTAGGACGTGGTTGATATACAACTACTTGAACCTAATATCGCGCTCCCTTTAGGAGCCAGGATCATCAATATCATGGACATTATGAGTCTCGATAATAACAAGTGGACTACGACAGGCAAGCGTTAAGCGCCTGCTCAGCCAACTGGGCCTATTGATGCAAAATATTGAAGGATATAGTGGACTAATGTATGTCGATCCACATACCGAAGTGTTTGATACGTTTCTATCAACACGTAATATGTAGTGCCTCGTTCACTGCGTGTAATTTGACAAGGCTCTACTGACAATGTCATAACTTTTATTTGGATTGTTTCCTATTTTTAAACCAGGTTTCCGACTCCTTTTGACGAAGATCCCAAATTATCTTTTCATTTATGCTATTCTTCAAGGCTTCATCTGGGTTGGACATCTTTTTAAGCAAGTAGAGAATGAACGAGTTGTCGGGCCCAAAGAGTAATGGCCATTCTTGTATACGACCTATCATTTGTAATCGAAACAAATACTGTAATATACCCGCTTGCATGGGAGGATCCATGTTTAAATCAATTTGTTGACAGAGTTCTTTGGCCGATGGGTCTTGTTTGGCTTGTGAGAACAAGAACTGGAGAGCCTTTTCATAATCTAGAATCCCTGGTGGGCTAGAATCTAACTCCAGCTGAGCTGAGACTGTGTCTTTGGTACGAGGGTCAGATCTAATGCCAGTACCATTGCTGACACAAGTACTGCTCTCAGTACTACAGGTATTTGGCAACGACGGCATTGAAGGGCAATTGGATTCATCGTGACTATAAGGGTCATGGACTGCCTGAATGACGCCTGGGGAGCTAGAAGATGAGTTGTAAGCTTCTTTAAATGTTGTCTTGGACATTTTTTTTTCCCTTGAAAGGGGCGATTGTTGTTTAGGGATTGAGAATTAAGGAGAGTAAGAGGATAGACTAGACTATATTTATGGGACAAGCGAAAACACGCCTACAATGGCGTTCTAGAGTCCTCTATATAAATGTTTGCGGAAAAACCAAGTGTGGACATAGCAAGCATGAGAAAGCATTGGAAACAGGAAGGCAGATCCATTCAAGAGCTATCTTTACAAAGATATGGTGGGGCTATTACATCTTTTGATCTGTGGCATTGTAAGCTTTTTTACTAATACTTTACTTTTTCCTATAGTCGAGGATGTAGGCAAAGTCGCATGACTATGTAATTTCAACAAAGATCTTGGTAATAACACCGACAAAAAAAACTGAAACCTCATTCAAGGACAAAGACCTACCTTTCTTGGATAGGGAAATTTATTAAAGAAGGGACAAAGAGATGACCACTGCACTTATCCAATATTTCCCATGATAATAATAATAATAATAATAATAATAATAATAAGAGGTTCATTTCCATGAGGTAATGGGAATAAAATCCCCTTGAAAGAGAGCATCCTGATTTGTTCTCACTCTGATTGCGTGTATTCCAGTTCATTCTGGTGAAGAGATCAAGTGCGGACCCTTTCTCATCGTCTATTTAAATTATAATATAAAAATATATTGAAACGGGAATCGCCACTATACACAAACATCATTTTTGTACATGAAGTGTTTGTACCTGTCTCAACGGTCATTTGTACAGATGCTAGTTTATATTCCAGTCCATACCCTACAATGCCAGAGCCCTCGAAGTGATGCACTTACCCGTTGTTGTGGGTTAGAATTGCGTAAATGGTGTACCAACCAAAGAGTGATATCCAAAAGTCCAAGGGATAGCAGGAACACAGTGATCTAATTAAGAGAGTTGTTCAACGTCCTCACTTTCCATTCACTGTGTACATCCTCATGCTCCCATGCATCTCTCTCTCTTTTTTTTTTTTTTTTTTTTTTTTTTTTTTTTAAAAAAAAAAAAAAGGTCAATGCTGATAGGGAGAGTCACCTTGGATCGGGTGCATGCCCCACTATTACTTTTACCTTGTACCACTCTTAGAGCCACGCACGCCATGGCCTGCAGCGCGTGCAACCTTAGTTGAGCAATCTAATCAAGGTTTTTTGGTTATTTGCCATTCCGTTTTCCATTTCTGCTAGGGACATTCGCCCATCGAATCAGGCAGCTTCGTGCCCCCAAAGGCTATCGTAATTTCTTTCTCTCTTTTTTTATGGGAACTTGAACTTAATTAAGATTAATCGGGGACAACCCTCACACACAAGGATTGAAGCAGAAACGCTTGAGGTACTGAATGGCTCAGTGTCCTGATGACGATGATTATCACTGTGATGTTAATGTTAATGTTGAAGGGTCAGAAAAAAGGAAGAACAAATAAAAAAAAAAAAAAAAAAAAAAAAAGAAGGAAAAAGAGCACACCTGTCTCCATTGGACCATTGACGATGAGTAACTTTTTGAAAAGTGTCAATGTCCCTGTTTCCCTTGCTTGCTTTTCCTTGCCCCTTACTCTGTGTTGATCTAGGTTCCTGCCATTACTGTGTACACGTTGTCTGTTCTGTTGCCTTGCCTGCATGAGTGAAGATACAAATGCAACCCTTGGGGTCAATCTCATCCCTAGAGTTCTGATGCAGATTCTCACTCACTGATGACACATACACACGTTCATGTTCATGTACACTTTTCAAACTTACATGATCGTGCTAACTGCAAAAAAAAAAAAAAAAAAAAAAAAAAGGTGTGCGAGTGAGAGAAAAAGGAAAGCATTGACCATGTCACCCCGTGAGAGCCTTTCACACTTTTAGAGCCGTTTCGTGCTACGAACCATATGGACTGGTCCCCGTGGTTGAATTGAAATCGAACGTCTTTTCTTTCTCCCTTTGTACACGCCTTTTCAAGAAAATAGATCGATCTCTCTTTGCTTTGTCTTTGAACACTCTGTTGTCTTTCCATTCTCTCCCAGTCGCTTTTTTTTATTTTTAACGACTCTCTCTCCCTTCGAATCTTTTTTATTTAGTGATTGCATCTCTTTCAATCAATCGTCGGTCCTTGCTTTCATCAATTCACACACACAGACACACACAGACACACACAGACAGTCTTTCTACTATCAGTATCATCGCATCCATTCCGGACTAGAAAAAAAAAGAATACTCCATCCATTTTCCGATTTTATTTCTGTCATTAAATCTCTTTTTTATTTTATATCATATCCAACCGACTTCAGCCTCGGCATTTCCCAATATTTCCTTCTCTTGCTCCTTCGCTCCTTTCTTCTTCTCTCTCAAGATACTTTGTATCTTTATTCTTAACATCTATTCACCAAGAATATCCACTTCTTCCTCTTTTCAACAAACTTCTCCATTTTAATTTATTTACAAAATGGCGATGATGGAGCAACATGTAGCTAGTTCTTATTTCCAGACCACACATTCTCGAGTTGACTCGAAACTACATTCCGACTTGTCTTCCGAAAAAGCGATAGACGACTTTTCATATACACTTGCAAAGCCTGTCTCCCCCGGAGGACTTCGTCGCTGTGCCGCCACTCGAGATTTAACAAGGTAAAAAAAAAAAAAAAAAAAAAAAGACTTGTCTCAACTAACACGTTTTCTCCAAACCATTTCTAGCACTCACCTTTATTTATTTTTATTTTTTTAACGGATATTTATGGGAAAATGGACTAAATAAATATTTATAGTATAGGTTCGAATGTTAACTATTGCGCAAAGGTCTCGGTCGATTATATGCTTGGCGATGCCTCGACGCCTTTCCACGCTCCATCATGGAAACTGCTTGCTCCTAATGGAAAGAGCAATGAGATCGTTGTTGACAATGTAAGCATTAATCAACTTGTGGGTGTATTCCTGTGATGATGGCAAAAAATCCCTACACTCTGCAGCCTACGGATGGTGGTGTCAATTCAATTTTTACTGGTATAAAACAATTCTTGACGCTTATTCGTTTGTTCTTATTTCTACTAGCTCGAGACTGTTCGCCGTTTCAAGAAAAGTTTGTACATGCAATTATGCTCTGTAGTATCAGAGGAAGGAATTCAATGCGTGTCAGAAGATACTTGGTCCGAGCTCTATCTCTTTCGAAAACAAACAGACGGATCGGGTGCAGTGACGCGGTATGAGCCAATTGAAGGCGATCAGGAGGCATTATACATGTTTGCACTCAAGGATGGTGATCAGATTGTGTTGCTGATCCACGAAAATTATGAATATGGACGATCAGGATCTGAGGTTGACTCAGTTGCGCGATGGGTTGAGACGATTCAGCAACAGACAGAGTTTGAAGCTGTTGATGCCTAGGAGCCATGTCTATCCCATACGCACATGGGTAACAAGAACCGCAAAGCATACAACCCCATTTTATTTTCTCGTCGACCCACTGTGTTTCAATTAGCATTGAGTAATTTAGCTCGCATTCATTTCCTTGTAAATATATGGCTGCTTTTTTTAATTTTGCAAGAACTTATTCTCTGATGAACCAAAAAAAAAAAAAAAAAGATAGGAAACAAGTTCTTGAGAATGAAGAAAAGTCTTATTAATATTATTGTTATCACTGTAACACTTTAGCTCCTTGTCCATAAGGAGTCTCTTTGACTTGCAGGAGACGATATATCTTTTTTTTTTTTTTTTTTTTTTTTTTGACTGATATCATTCTCGACATGATCCGATGTGATATGAAGGGAAGACGAGAACGAAAGGAAGATGAGAAGAATAATCCAAAAGTATCTCGCCCACAATCCGCAAACATCAACAGTGCAAGGCACATGCAAGTAGAGATGAAAATAAAGAGGGGACGAAACTAAAGTCGACGAGCCAAACTTTGTTTTTTTTTTTTTTTTTTTTTCCTTTGACGTGTCATTCAAACTTCGGGTAATAGTTCCCTCTTTTGCTTTCTTTTTCTCTTTCTCTTTTTTGCTTTTAATCCCTATTTTTTTCACCGCAACAACTATCTTGTTAGAAACCAAGGAGCAGTGAAAACCCAAAGGCCGTCATTGTACATAATTTAATTTCGCAAAAAAAGGAAAAAAGTTTTATCAAAGGGATTCCAATGGATTCAATGACAATGACTCGAGTCATTGTAATCGCTCTTTTCGCCCTGATGGTCATCAGCATCGTAGCAGCAGATGAACCCAACTGTTCGGTGAAGCATCCTTCAACTGGTAAATTTTATGATCTCAGCCCATTAGTTAAGAAGGACAATGAGTAAGTAAAAAAAAAAAAAAAAAAAAAAAACTCTTTTAGCAATTAGGCCGCTAGGAAGCAGAGGCGTCGAATAGTCTGTACGGAATACAGAACAAAAGGAGATGAACTCAGTTTTTTTTAATATTCAATAGTAATGACTGGACGCCAGATACAGGTGCTGATAAATCCTGGGAATTCAGACTCAATGTCTGTCATACAGTGCTGAAGAAGGAATTGGATGTCAAAAATCCAGATGGGATTGCAGCATGGGGCAAGAAGAACAAGGGGACTTCATTAGGGTAAGAGAAGGCTTTTTACTCTTTCCAGACTTCTGCTTCCTTGGATTGCTTAACAGAAACCGACTTTTTTTTCTTTCTTTCTTTCTTTCTTTCTTTGGCATCGACTTCGTTAGAAAGCTGAGCAAGAATCCATTTTTCAGAGGTATGAATCGAATTGAAGAGAGAGCAAAAAAAAAAAAAAAAAAAAAGGATACATTACTGTCAACGTACTTTATGGTTCATAATGAGCTGATGATCTTCATCTATCTTTTTTTTTTTTTTTTTTTTTTTTTTTTTAAAAAAAAAAAAAAAAATAGGTGATAGTTTACTTCTGGAATATAAGGATGGTGATGAATGTCCCAACACCAATGGAAACTACAAAAAGTCAACGCTCATCCGATTCATGTGTGATACTTCAGTCAGCGGACAGGTAAACCGATGTTTTTTTTTTTTTTTTTTTTTTTTTTTTTTTTTTCCTCGCTTTGGGTTTAATAGCTTTGCCAAGACAAAATGGTCAAGAAAAACCTAAAGCTTCTTTCCTCCCGTGACACGGGCCCAATTCCAGGCATGTTTTCTTACAAAGCCTCATCTTGATCTTTACTTTTCTCCTTGTTGATCATAGGGCAATCCAACATTGTTAGCTAACAACAACGACTGTAACTTTTGGTTTGAGTGGCGTACCCCCGCAGCATGCGCCACGGACCGTCCCACTCCTACCAACGGCGGTGGAGTCTTTGGAACCATGTAAGCAGACAAGAATATCGGCAGAATTTGATGACAGCTCATATTCTTTACAAAGCTGTTAATTGTCTTTGGATACATTCTAATACTCTTTTTTATTTTTTATTTTTTTTAGTATTGGCATTGTAATCTTTGTTTACATTGTTGGAGGTGTAGCATATAACCGCATTGTACATCACGCCCGTGGATTGAAGCAGATCCCCAACTACCAATGGTGGGCTGAGGCGTTTGATTTTGTCAAGGTAATGAGACATATTAAAAAAAAAAAAAAAAAAAAAAAAAAAGAGCAAGCTAGCCTTAAAGTGCAACGAATCATGTACATTATTGATATCTACAAAGATGAACATGTATGGTTTTGTGATCCCAACCATACCACCCGGAATGGAATGGAGAATTAGCATTTTTTATTAATGTGAAACTGTCTAATTTTTTTTTTTTTTTTTTTTTTTTAGGATATGTTGATTATCTTATTTGCAAAGTGCTATCGTCCCAAGCGTTCACAGTCATACCATAATCTTCCTAATGATTCAGAGATTAACACGCTGATGGATTCAGAATATGAGGAGGATGAGCCTTGAGGGAGAATGAAGAAGGAAATAGAATAAAAAATAAAGTAAAATCTGAACGAAGTGTTATGGGTTCACAGAAAGGAAAAAAAAAAAAAAAAAAAAAAAAAAAGGCGGAGGATCTTTTTCTGAAAGAGTGTTTTTGTCTGAACTAATTTCTTGATAATGGAGCTAAAAGATGAAAAGGTCAAACGGGTCCAAATGGAAGCGAGTAGATGGTTTTTGTATTGAGACTGAATACGACAAGATTGATCTGCTTGCTGTTGCTGCTTGTTGTCAATGTCTGTCAGATATGCCAGATACGGAGTTGATGAACTGGGAACAGATACGTTTTCACAGTATAATGCAAATCTAATTTGTCTGTTTGCGTGTTGGGCGTTAGCTTGATGTAAAAGTAAAGGTAAGAATGTAAATGTTAATATATAATGTAATTGTAGGACAGGGTCATGCTGTTATCCTTTTTGGATTGAACGCAGATCGGATATCCTGTCTGTGTCCTGTGCATCTCCTCTAGTCTCGCACTGGGCAAATGCGCAAATGCATGCAAGAACAGTTTGTATATACAATAAAAGAGCATTATTCAATGAGGATCATTTCAGAAGGCAGGGTGCATATGGTTGGAGGAGGAGGAAGGGGCATTTTTTGGCTGTTCCTGTCACGAGAGACAGCGAATTAAAAAGAAAAAGAAAAAAGACTGAGGAATAGAGATGAGCACAAGAGCATCAAGTCTAAAAGGTTCTATTTGTCTATTTCAATAATGCGATAACACGCACTTTTCCAATTCTCCTTACTTCCCTTTCCTTTTCCTTTTCCTTTTCCTTTTCCTTTTCCTTTTCTTCTTACTGTCTCCAATCCAAGTTTTATTTTCATCTCTTGTCCTCTTTCTCTTTCTCTTCCCCCTCCCCTTCTCTTTCTTATTTCCCATTGCCGTTGACTCTTCTCTCCCCTTTATTTTTTATGGATAATTAAACACTCTCGTCCACTCACTCCACTGCTCCAGTGGTTTTCATTCGTACTCTTGTTCATTTTATATTTATTTTATATTTTTTATTTTTTTTTTTATCTTTATTTTTTACTTTTTATTCACTTTCTGACAAAGATATAAAGATATCCACTAGACAATATAAAGTACCAGAGCCCACCTTTTTCTTTTCTTCATCATTTCATTTCATTTCGTTTAATTTCATTGCATTCATCATTTCATCTTTTAATTGTATAAAATCCTCATCCTTCTTCAGCACAAACATTTTTTTATTTTTATTTTTTATCATTTTTATTTCATTTTTTTTTTTTTTTTTTTTTTTTAGCGTGTTTTAGTTAATTGTAAATTAGCTTCATAGTATCATTATTTTCAACCACCACCAACGAAAAATTATGGCGGGTAAGTGGTGTTTAATTCTGAGCGTGTATGCAAAGGGAAAGACTGTAGGAATAAGAGAAGAATCAAAAAAAAAAAAAAAAAAAAAAAAAGTGGATGTGGATGAATTAAACATGCAGGAAACAACTTCTACAAAACACGGTAGCGATCACCTTTTTCTTTTTTAAAACCGTATCCCTTGATGGATAACATTCACACTAAAAAAAATAAAATAAAATAAAAAGTACACCCCTGACAGTAGACACATGGCACTTGTTGACACACAGACAGAGGCAAAGCACAGAACTGAAACTAAACAAAAAAAAGTTTGAAGAGAATGTGTCTGTGTGTCAGCCATGCATTTCTGCCAAAGACATGCCGTAATACACTACGCTACCACAACAGAAATATATTCAATATTCATAACACAAAAGAAACTATATTCATCTTCATTACTTGGAGGCCAAGGAAGTTTACGGAAGAAAAGAATAATGAGAAGGAGAGTTTATCAGATAATAAACACATCAACATTGAAAAATAGGGGAAGGCATGCTATGGCATGGCACAGGCAACACGCGGATGCTTGTGATAAAACCCTAAAATATCAACTTGTTCAACTGTGATGTTTGTAATCACTCTAAACTTTTTTTCTTTCTTCTTCTCCTTACCTCAACTAAAAGATCTCGGCTTGTATTTTGGAGATGAGGATGATGACCAGCTGGTGCAGGAAGACAAGGCACTTTCGTATCTCGTTCTAGCAAATGAGCAAGATGATGCCTTCGATCCGGTCGACACTGAAAAGCTCTTGGCCCAAATGAGTGCAGGTATTTTATTGTCAAAACACTAAAAACACACCATTTTTGTTTGTGCAACAATAAAAAGCCAAAGAGCAAGCCAAACTCATCTAATTCACCTTGCTTACTCCACACACACACACACATTATAGGTTCACTCATCTCCCATGGGATGGAGCTCGAGGAAGATACAGACGTCGTCCAGCTTTTAACTGAGCCAAACCTCTCTGCTCTTGAAAAAACCCAGCTACTTGCGCAGAGTCAATACGACTTTCATCGGTAAATACTCCCATAAAAGCAATCTCTCCACAATATGCATAATGGATAAATACGGGAAAAAGAGATATTGTTCCTCTGTTGTGCCATGACGTGGACATTAAAGTCCTCATCGTCAACCCAGCTATTTTCATTCAATAATATTCCATTCAGGAGTTGGCATGCTTATATTCTAAATTGGCTTCTGAAAAAAGAGTGGACGAATTAGATGAGCAGAAGAAAAAAAAAAAAGAAAAAAAAAAAAAAAAAAAAAAAAAGTGCTCAGATTGGCCATGCGATATTTTCACAATAGTGGCATGCATGACAAACAACACCAACAAGAACTACCATAACCACTACCACAATAACAACAATGACAACGATGGCAACAATAACAACAATTTATACAATCTCGTCTAGTTTAGTTGAGCATGTGTTTATTTCTTTCTATTCGCTTCAACCTTCTATTTTCAACCTGACGCTGTACTACTTGAACTAACGCTCTCAAAACTTTCGTTAATTATTTTATGATGCTTAAAAATCTCTTGTTTTTTATTGTTTGTACCTTCTGTCCACTCGTCTGTCTGTCTTAAACCTCCGTTTTTTGCTTCGTATCTATTGGGCTATTTGTCTCAATAACAGATCATTCCTGGCAAGAGAATTGCCCACGTTACTGATGCAGATGAGACCTCAGCAGGCTATTTCACATGTGATACCTATTATCCGAGACTTTTCTCTAGATCCCATGGATCCCGTCCGTGAGTCATTGGCCTCGCAACTCGATAAGATTGTTTTGTACTTTTTACGCGTAAGATAAAGCAAAATGCTTGTACTATGCTGTAGTATTATTAGCTGTAGTAACAATTGCTGTAATGGTGAAAGCATGATGAGAGCACCGGTACCGCGCAGGTTTTTATTATTCTTCATTTTCCTAGTCGCAAATTAATTAACCCTTGCGTTCATTTACAACTATTGGACGGTGCTATCAATACTTTAGAACTCTATAATTGAACATAATATCCCCAAGAAACAAATGGCTCTTGACGATGAAAGTGAAGATTATAATGATCAAGACCATATCAACATTGATGACAAGGGCAGGACTAGATCCCTTCCAGACATTCATACAGAAGAAGCAATATCAACAGGATTACCGCCATTATTACATGATACATTTACACCCATTTTTTTGAATCTTCTGTTGGATCAGAATGCAAGTATTGCACATCAAGCTCGATTGGCGGTCGATGCTGTAGCCCAGAATGTATCGGATGAGGTTATGGAGAGCGAGATCTTGAACGGCGTCATTGCAGGATTACAAAAATTGTATATGCCTCCTGAGATGGAACAACAACAACTTGATGAAAACGAAATCAACAGCTCAGGTTCAGGAGAAACTGTAGCTGTAACCGTGATCGAGCATGGAAACGACCATTTTGGCTCATATAATATTGATCTGGATGGAGAAGCTGAGCTAGGGAAGATGCTCGTTGTTGTGGTAAGCAATCTTTCTTTTCCTCTTGGTCTGATAACAAAAGTTACTTTTGTCAAAAGAACTTTTTTTTTTTTTTTTTTTTTTTTTTTAATACTAATTTGTAGGCGCTTCTCTGTTTCTATTCCATTCCTAATATCTAGTTGTTGACAGCGCTGGCGCCATTACTTGGACCCGAAAGATGTACTCGTATCATTGTTCCAAAACTTGAAAAGTTCACTACTAACTCTCAATTCTATGTCCGCAAGGTACTACATAGCAGGAAAAAAAAAAAAAAAAAAAAAAAAAAAAAGGTTATATCGCTAGTTTCAATAAGGTGGAAGCATCTACTAACTGTTTGTTTTATTTATGTATTTTACAGGAAATCGTCATGGCCTTGGGGACACTTTGCAAGATGGTGGATCAAGACGTGGTCGTAAAGCGACTCTTACCATTGTATGATATCTTTGTTCAGGATGACACCTGGCATATCCGACGAGCATGTTGCACCATATTGGCTTCTTTTATTGGATCCTTACCCCTAGATATGAAGGCCAGCAAAGTCGAGGAGATTTATGATATTTTTTCTGTCGACGTTAGCCGTTCTGTTCGTAATTCCGTAATGGAAGTTCTCGGCGAAGTCATTGCAGGGTTTGAAAAGGAAAAGGTGCCTGATTCACTCTTGAGTTATTTCCTGGACATGGGTCAACAGCCGATGAATGACCATGAACGTGCTGTCATGTGTGCGTTTAGCTTCCCAGGTAAGAGCTTTTTTTTTTTTTTTTTTTCTACTATCATTATTATTATCTATTCAAAAAAGCGTTCCTCATTACAATTTACATTGTGCGGCATAACAATAAGCCTAGAGTATAGACTCCGCTTAGAATTCTAACATCTTCCTTAATTTCATCTTTTTTTTTTTTTTTTTGTATTTATACAAAATGATGGAAAACAATAGCCGTTGTTTTGACTGCAGGACGATCAAAGTGGGAGCTCATGAAACCCGTTTACATCAAATTGGCTGGAAGCTTCCGTGCACCTATTCGGCGATCTCTCGCCTGCTCTTTACATGAAATTGCAAAGATCTTAGGGCCTGAGCTTGCAGATCGTGATCTAGCGCCTGCGTTTGCGGATTGCTTGATGGCATTAGAGGACGAGGTCAAAGAGGGCGTTCTGGGGCATATTGTCGATTTTATCTCCTGTCTTTCTCCAAGTTGTCGCTCGGATGTGTTGCATGATCTCCTGAGAGCTTGGACAGAGCAACTGGAACGGTCTAGCAATTGGAGACTACGGGATACACTCACAGGTCAGATCGCGGCCCTGTGTGAGATTGCAGACGGCACCGATCTTTTACAAGTGTTGCTGCCTTTGGCCGTCAAGGCATGTACAGATTCGGTTTCGACGATCCGTGAATCTGGTGTTCTGGCGTTCCCTGCCCTCTGGGAAGCTAGTGGACGCGTTGGACCGATCCCTGTGACCAAAAAGAAGGATATCAAGAGAGAATTTTCGTGGTCCTCATCAAACCTTGTGTTCCCTCCCTTACATGTTGGCGCTGATGAGGATGAGGACGATGAGGATGAGGATGAGGATGATGATGACGAGGAGAATGAGGATGAGGAAGATGAGAATGAGAATGAGAAGAAGCCTTTGTTCGTTAGCCAAAGCCCTGATCATGATATGGAAGATGTTGAGATGGAGGATATGACTGGAGACTCGACTGACAGCCCCAAAGACAGTGAGACCGAGGCTGAAGCCGAAGGTACAGATGACAGTGAAGATCTAGACGATAGGGAAGGTGACAAGTACTCAGTGTCTCTCAAAGCGAAGGCCTCTGAACAGCAAAAACAACGGCAACAGCAACAGCAGAAGCGAGCGCAAATGCAGCAAAAACAGCAGCGTCAGCAACAAGAAATGACCACAATCAAGGAACAGATCATTGCTCAAACAAAGGATTTTGCCATTCATGGTGGGTTCCGGTCTCGAGTGGTGGCGGTTCAAATTATTCAGTCCTTGCTCGATTACGGAGTTTCTATCCCGGAATTTGAAGATTATTTCTTACCCATTCTGGCAGATCGTTTGGCGGACGACTCCGTCGCTAATATCCGGATTTGGGTCGCACGCGTAGTAACCTGGATCGTTGACAGTGGATATTATGGTGATGCACCCATCTCACCTTCGTTACGTGAGTTGCATTTGAAGCTTCAAGAAGATCCTGATCGGGACGTCAGGATATATTCAGGAGGGCCATTAATTCTTCCAGAAAAGAAGAAGCCTCAAAAGCCGAAAAAAGCAAAGCGCAAGGCAAAGAATAAGAATGGCGATAATGAGGACAACGGGAAGAACAAGCTGAGCACGGCAACAGACCTTGATACTCGGGGCAGTAGGGCAGTGAAGACATCAGCATCAACCCTTACAGTCTTCCACCAAAACCCCAAGAGCGGCGAGTTGATGGCGATAGAGGACAGGGATGAAGCCGAGATACAGCTTCTGTTCCAAAACGAACTGAACAATGAGGATGCTGCTGAGCTTAATGATAGCGACGAAGAAGTCGAAGATAGTGATGATGGCGATGATGACGGTGACGACGACGACAACGACAACGATGAAGATGAAGATGATAACGATAATGACGGAGATGAGAAGGGTGGGAAAGAGGAAGAGAAGGCTAGTCAGGGCAGTATTAATGGCCCCGAAGCGTCCTTCAGATCTAGCGATGACAGAGAGGTCCATATACCTAGTGATTTAAACAGTGACGATAAATGCACTGTAAGGCCATCAGATCCGGCTAGAGAAGAAGAGAAAGAAGAGAGGCCTGTTCCCGTCGAACTCAGAGTGGAGGCAAAACATACAGAGCAAACAGGATATGCGAAACCTAGCACTAACTCTCTAGACATTGTTGAGCAGGCAGCTGTTGCTCAAGATGGAAATGATAGTGAAGATGAGAAGGATGAAGAGGAGGACGAGGATGCTGACGAGGATGAGACAACAGTAGTGCATAGCGTAGTGCCTTACTCGACCTCAAGTGCCAATGGTGTCAGCCCTCTAGATGTTGAGATGGAGGAGGATTTGCTTGAGAAAGAAGAGCCTAGAGATACTGACTCTGGTCCAAGTTCAAGTGAGACTGAAGAGAGTTCAGAATTAGAGTCAAGCCAAGAGCCAAGTATAGAAAGCTGTGCTACTGTTACCATCGTCGACACTACAAGCTGTAGCAATAATAGTACAACTACCACCACTACCGCTACTGCCGCTATTATAGCTACGTTTTTGGGCCTGGATGAGCCCACTGTTGCAACCGCATTCCCGCCCTTGTCTTCGTCCTCTAAATCCTATCCCATTCAATGGCGCTCACCGCCACCGGCCCTCAGTTATGCAGCATTGTTGAAGGGCACTATCAACATCAACAACACTAAAAGCGATAGCAATAGTAATAGCAATCAACAGAAATCCAAAGGACGCACGTCGTCGGATATTACCACTCTGACCTCATTCAGACAGGCCAACCTTTCAGAGCCACTGCATCACACAGCTACAGCCACATCAGCATCGATAGCCATGACAGCGACCACAGCTACGACCACGACAGCGCCTATGACCACAACGATTGTAAATACTACTCCGACAACCACTACGGGCGATAAAAAACTTAATAGTCTTAAAAAGGACAATATATTGATTGAGGCATCTCTGTCTCTCTCAGCTTCGCGACTGTCACCGTCGTCGTCGTTATCATCATCTTCTTCTACGTCGCCATCCCCATCTTCCAGCAAACCAATCTCCTCGTCCCCGGTAACCTTCCCTCTGCGATTCTCATACGCGGCCGTTGCTGCTCGTACTTTTTCTCCACCACCCTTGACCCCCGTCATTGGTGGCACATCTACAGCCATGACATTCTGAAGTATCTTTGAAAAAAAAAAAAAAAAAAAAAAAAAAAACCCCCTTCATTCATATAATGCATCTTTGATATCATTACAATAGTCATATTATGATCATGATTACCCATTTTGTTTAGTATATACAGCACATGATGTGTATAATACCCATAAAAAAATTGTAAAATTCATCTGTTATAGCATTTCTTTATTTTTTTTTGTGTGTCCACCTTGTCTTGTACGAGAAATGAGACGAAACAGAGGTGAATGATGTCTATCTTGAACGATGTAAATCTTATTTCAGAATGGATACTGAACCTTTTTCTTTTAGACAACAACGGACCAGCCCTTGGGGCCCTCGACATCACCATATTGGATGTCCATAATGGCATTGTTGATGCGCTTGGTAAGCTTTCCAGCTTGGCTGGTCTTGTCTGAAGGATCAAGAGGCACATGAATGTCTTGGCCATCGTAGTGAATCTTCTTGATAGGGCATACAATGCAGGCAGTACCAGCGCCTATTTAAGATCAACAATTTTATCAGCAATCAATTATTAAAAACTGTCCAATAATAATAATAATAATAACAGTTTTTTTTTTTTTGTCCACTTTCACGGCGCGTTCACGACTATTTTCGTCCATTATTACTCATATGAGTAATAGTCAAAATAAAATAAAAATAAAATAAAAAATAAAAAAAATAAAAAGTCGCCGTTCTCTTCCTCCCGCTTTTTTCCAAACATGCTTTTGTGGCAGACAAACTGACACATGGATCCCATTAGAGTATAAAAAAAAAAAAAAAAAAAGTAACCGACAACGAAAATATTCTTTTCTGTGAGCCAAATGAGTAATTTGAGCCACTTTGTTTATCCCTTGCCCTGCCTATCTTATCCGACACATACCACATTCACACAGCAAAATTGCCAAAAATAAAAACGCGTCCACAATACACAGGAGATCTCTTTGCTTACCAAACATCTCAATGATACGGCCTTCCTTATCGGCCTTGACAAGGTCCTTCATCGTGAACTTGCGCTCTGAAACCTTGAATTCACCCCATTGGCGGGCAAGGGACAAAATACTGTCACGGGTGACTCCTGGCAAGATGGATCCGTCCAAATCGGGGGTAACAAGCTCGTTCTCTGTTATATCCACGTTATGTATAAATGTATATTGTTAATAAAGAAAGGAATATAAAACATGGAAAAAAAAAAAGAGAGAATAATACGAATAATGCCCGTTATCGATGAGCCCCAACATGATTGGAAGCTCTTTTTTTTTTTTTTTTTTTGCTAAAAACACTTGCCTCCTTGCTCATTCTTCCAGTAGACAAAGCAGTTCATGGTGCCAACTTCGGTGACTTGGTGATCGTGTCCGAACAACCAAAGGTTCTGTTGGAAACCTTCCTTGTTGGCGTCCAATTGAGGCTTGATGCAAGGAGCATAGTTTCCTCCGATCTTGGCATCACCCGTTCCACCAGGCCAGGCACGAACCTTTTCAGAAGTAGCCAACAGGTTGACTGCATTGAAGCCTGAAGGGAAATAAGGTCCCACAGGGGAAGCAATCACAAAGATCATAGCCTTGTTCGAAGCTCCCACACCCAATGACTCTTGTGTACCAATCATGGTAGGACGCAAATACAAGGAATAACCACGACCCTTGGGGATCCAACGGTCATCCACCTTTAAGAACTCTTTAATCAGCTTGGTAAGTTCTTCACCGTCAAAACCCTAATAAATTAAGAAAAGGAGAGGTTCACACAAATGAATGAAAAAAAAAAAAAAAAAAAAAAAGAGTCATTGAGTATTGAGCAGAGGCAAAAAATAAAATAAATAAATAAAAGAAGCCTTCATTTTATAAACTTACAGGAAGAGCGATACGTTGGGCACTTCGGTTGAAACGAGCCATGTTCAAGTCAGGTCTGAACAAGCGAGTCTTTCCATTCTTATCCTTGTATGCCTTCATGCCTTCGAAGCATTCGAATGAGTAATGGAAGACCACGGCAGAGGGTTCCAATTGCAATTTACCATATTCTTTAATCTGAGGAGTACCCCAGCCTTTGCCAGCTTCCCATTCAACGATCAACATGTTGTCTGTAAAAGTCTTGCCGAAAACCAATTGATTGTTCTCCTGCAAAGCCTTCAGATTCTTGGAAGGATTGATCTGAAGCTTGGATGCATCCAAAGGTGCAGGTTGAGTGGTACTGCTGTAGAAGCGGGTAGAAAGGATTTTGGCAGCTTGACGAGATGGAGAAAGAGAAGATGCTGATGTGAAAGCATGGTTGACCTTGATGGCCTGACGCATGACTCTGTTGACAAACATGGTTGGAAGGAGAGAGGGTTAATAGGTTTATGATCCTGTGTTTTCAATTACAAAAGAGAGAAGAGAAAGAGCGAGAGGGGAGAGAGAGAAAGAGAAAGAAGGAGGAGGAGGGAGATGAGAGAATCCCAATGAGAACAGGCAAGAAGAATGATGAATGGAGAAAAGGAAGAAAGAAGAGCACAAACGTTATTTAAGCAAAATACTGCATGTGAGGTTGCAGTCCTGAACGTGGTGTGGAGGTGGAGACACATCTGACTCAACATTGGGCCGAATCTTTGTGACTGACACCACCGTGGGAAGAATCCGAAAAGTATGCACAAGACAAATATAATTTTAGGCACAAGAACATCTGACACTCATTAACTCCATCTATAGAAGCACCTCGCTCTTGATCTATCTGTATTTTTATTATTATACATCGGCAGGAAGTATGTGCCGATAAATCATTAGTTTGTAAAGTCTCCAGGTCACCCATAACATAATCCGTGAAAGGTCCTAAAAGACTACATACAGCATCATCACCCACTCACATCAAGAGCGTAAACGTGGCGGCTGTTTTTTTTTCTTTTTTGACTCCAAAAATATCACGGGGTATGGCACATCGTGGGAAAAATATTACTTTCTGACAAATCAGCCTGTTTTCATCGTGAAAAAAAACTCACGATCTAAGGTATTCAAGCAAATCTTTATATGATTTTCATTCAAAACTGAGAAGATTACACCAATTTTTTCTGTATTTATTCAACGACAAGTAATAATACTAGTAAAGAAACAACTCTCTATGTGAAAACATGATAATAAAAACATCAACCTCAGCTGCTTGTAAGCACTCTTTGCGCGCATTTTTTTTTTTTTTTTTTTTTTACATGCGGAAAACACCAAAATCAGTCTCGGTGACAGGTGCATTGAGCGCTGTGGACAGGGCCATACCCAAAACAGCACGGGTATCTGCAGGGTCGATCGTGCCATCATCCAACAAGCGGGCACCAGAGACATAGGGATGTCCCTCCTTCTCGTACAGATCAATGATAGGCTTCTTAAACTCTTCTTCATCCTTAGGATCCCAGACCTCACCACGCTTCTCCATACCAGCCTTCTTGACTGTTGCTAATACTCCTGCAGCCTGCTCGCCTCCCATGACTGAGATACGGGCATTAGGCCACATCCACAAGAAACGGGGTGAATAGGCCCTGCCGCACATACCATAATTACCAGCTCCGAATGATCCTCCAATAATCACTGTGAACTTGGGTACCTGTGCGCATGAGACTGCCGTGACCATCTTGGCTCCATTCTTGGCAATACCGCCTTGTTCAGCAGATGATCCCACCATGAATCCAGTAATGTTTTGCAAAAACACAAGAGGAATCTTGCGCTGCGTGCATAACTGTACAAAATGAGCCGACTTGAGAGCTGCCTCCGAGAACAAGATACCGTTATTGGCCACAATACCTACAGGGTAACCGTGGATATGTGCAAATCCAGTGACAACAGTCGTTCCATAGTTTTCCTTGAATTCGCTGAACTTGGATCCATCCACAATACGAGCTATTACATCCTTAACATCAAACGACTTTTTGAGGTTGTCGCCCACAATGCCACCCAACTCCGATGCAGGGTACAAAGGTTCCTCAACCTTCTTCATCAACAACTGTAACATTATATTATTAATAAAGGCAAGAAGTAATAACAAACTTTAACGGGTTAAAGGATATTTCCCGGTTGAAGAAAGAATAGAAGACAGCTGACACTCTTTTTTTTTTTTTTTTTTTTTTTTTTTTTACGAACCTGAGGCTTCTTTTGGTAATTGAGGTTACCGATAACACGGCGGGCAAGTACGAGAGCATGCTCGTCATCGACAGCCAAATGATCTGTAACTCCTGAAACCTTGCAGTGCATGTCAGCACCTCCCAACTCCTCGGCTGAGACGACCTCTCCAGTAGCAGCCTTGACAAGAGGAGGACCAGCCAAAAAGATAGTTCCTTGCTTCTGGACGATAATACTCTCATCAGCCATAGCAGGGACATAAGCTCCTCCGGCCGTGCAAGATCCCAAGACGACAGCTACTTGAGGAATACCCATGGCTGACATGTTAGCCTGATTGAAAAAGATACGTCCAAAATGCTCCTTGTCGGGGAACACATCCAGCTGACGAGGCAAGTTGGCTCCTCCAGACTCGACCAAGTAGATACAGGGCAAACGGTTCTCCCTTGCGATCTCCTGTGCGCGCAAGTGCTTCTTGACAGTGATGGGGTAGTATGTGCCTCCCTTAACGGTGGGATCATTAGCGACAATCATGCACTCGACACCGTTCACACGACCAATACCAGCAATGACTCCTCCTGCAGGGACCTTATCTTCATACAGCTCATATCCTGCAAACTGACCAATTTCAAGAAAAGGCGATCCATTGTCCAATAAACGATCAACACTGTTTCATTTGCATAGAGGAAGTTAAACAATAAAGAAAATGTCAGTTTAATGGATCATTGTTGGTGTTTTTTTTGGCCAAACAAAAGAAAAAAATTCTTTTTGTTCATTAAAGCAAACATTTTTTGTATGCATGCCATACCGATCTCTTGGAAGTAGCTTGCCGCGTGCCAGATGTCTCTCTCGAGCCACCTTTCCGCCACCTATTAGGACGACAAGTAGTTATACAGGTGTGAGTATGTGAGTATGTGAGTATGTGAATGTGTATGTCATCCTTTGACTATGGGAAACGTTGTTTAAAGAGCAACTTATGGAATACGATATATTTAAAGGAGGACAGCTGTCGGTGAATTAAATACTAAAATAAAAAAAACATTTCTGAGCGTATGTGGGGGAACGTGGGAAAAACAAGGAAATGGCAATAAAGATGTCCGCATTTTATTACCCAACTTGATCTCTGCAACCTTCGCATTCATGTCATCCACAAGAGCTTGCATCTTGGCAGCGTTTTCCTATATAGATCAGTGAACAATATGCCATGGAGCATGATTAAGTAAAGAAATGAATATTTAAAAGGTCTTTCCAGTCTGAGACAGCAGTAAATTTTTTATTTTATAGTGAGAGTATTTTTTTAATTTTTACCTTGAATGATGGACTATGGACATCAATCTTATTAGGAAGGATAGTGCTCTGATCCTCATGAGCACGGTAGTAGGGTCTGACCATGCCGACAGCTAAAGAAGGACGCATCAGTCCAACCGAGCGTGACAATGCTGGGTTACGCATGGCCCTTGAGACCATTGGAGCTAATGCCTTGTTGTAGAACATGCTCATGATGACAATTGACAATGAGAATAGAGAGAGTGGAGCGAAAGTGAGGATGGAGTGGAGAGAAAGAGAGAGAGAGAGAGAGAGAGAGAGAGAGAGAGAGAGAGAGAGAGAGAGAGAGAGAGAGAGAGAGAGAGAGAGAGAGAGAGAGAGAGAGAGAGTTGGAAAGGTTGTGTGAGTTTACAGGAACAGAGAGGAGTGGGAAAAGAGAGAACAGAGTGTGGGAGAGTTGAGCAATTATGGTTAACACTTGAGGGGTTCGCGTTTCTGATCCTCCACGTGCATCCCCCCATTTTTGACACATAATTTGCAAAAAGAGACAAAATAGGTGGCTGAGGGACAACATGGGCAATTGAGTCCTGTCTTTGACCTTGAATCCCTCCTTCCTTGACCATGGCTTCATGTGTGCGTGCATCAGGCATGACCATTATTAGACTGCCAGTTTACAAATATCTTGGTATCCGACCTGCGGCGTGTCGCAGTAACAAGGTGGTAACTGCTAAGGCTCGAAATATCCATACAACGGCTACGCAGAGTTCACAATGGTCGTCCGTAAGATCAATATCAGATCGGATAGTATGGATCCGCGCCAACAATTTGGTCCGATCAGGATGCTCGCACATTCCAAAGCATGACTTGCTTCAGAGCTATAGACCTACCTGTTCACATTATCAACAAGCAGGCTTCTCATCTCTATCTACTCATCTCAACAATAACAAAAGCTCAATATCGTCATCGTCAATTGTCTTTCACACTCCAATGCTCAACAAGATGAAACCTAAGCTCGAATCTATGAAAGAGTTACATGAGAAGGTCTTGAAGGAGATCAACAGCGGGGATGCAGAGGTCCTATCTCCTCAAAAGTTTGCAGAAAAGACTAAACAGCTTCATGATCTATCTTTGATTACAGACAAGTATTCTGAAGTCGAATCCGTGATCCGTGATCTGTATACATTACAGCAGATGTTAGATGACCCCTCGACAGCTCAGGACAAAGATCTCTTGGAGATGACTCAGCAAGAGATCAAGAGCACGACAGAAAATATTATTGAGATGGAAAAGCAGCTTCTGTTCTCCATGTTACCCACCGATTCTGCAGACGAGGCCAATGCAATCCTTGAGATTCGTGCAGGTACAGGAGGAAATGAAGCAGGGCTGTTTGCAGCCGATATATTGAGGATGTATGAGCGCTTCGCAGAAAGGCAGCGATGGAAATGGGAAGAGATATCCAAGACCTACGATGGAATCGGAGCCGTCAAGGTATATATTTTTATAAAAGTTTCCGTTATTTCTGTCCTTATTCCGATTGGAGACAATGATTTAACATTCCTCTTTCCATATACATATGTATGCGTTTGTATTTATATATAGGATGCGGCTATTGGTATTACGGGCTCCAATGTATTCGGTCAACTCAAATATGAATCAGGTGTTCACAGAGTCCAGCGTGTGCCTGCTACAGAAACTCAGGGTCGAATCCATACTTCAACCGTCACAGTCGCCATCATGCCTCAACCTACTGAGGTCCAAGTTCAAATCCAGGACTCGGATGTTCGCGTTGACGTCTTTCGTGCTTCAGGATCTGGAGGTCAAAAAGTCAATACGACGGATTCGGCCATTCGTCTGACCCATATTCCTACAGGCATCGTGATTGCCATTCAGGATGAACGATCCAATCAAAAAAACAGAGCCAAAGCTTTTACGATCTTGCGAGCCAAGTTGTATGAACGTGAAAGAGAAAAGCTCGCCTTGGAGAGACGAGACTCGAGGAGGAAGCAGGTTGGCGCAGGCACACGATCTGAAAAAATAAGAACATATAACTTCCCTCAGGTGAGCTTTTTCCCTCTTGTATCTGTCTTAGAAGCATATTTACAAGATATATCTTTATAAAGACCGTAACACCTTCTTTCAATCCTCTTTGGCTACCTTGCTAACCTTCCTTTTCCTTATATTAGAACCGAGTGACAGATCATAGGATTAACAAGACACTGCATGAGCTTGAAGGCGTCCTGAATGGCGAGGCCTTATCTGAATTCATCCAAGCGCTCAAAATTGAAGAGCAGACCGATATGCTAATGGCAATGAATGATGCTTAAAAATGAAAATCATCGCCAAGATATATATATATCAGTAGACATTACAAAAAAAACCCCGTAGAAAAGACTATGCCAATGTAATTTTATTTTTTAACATTATTCTATTATACCATGCAAAAGATTTACTTTTATTCTTCTTTACGGAAGAATTATTTTCTCGCCTTCATTTTTTAATAGATATAGAAACCACGCCCAGTCTTCTTGCCAAGCCATCCAGCATCAACCATCTTGTTCAACATGACACTAGGGCGGTATTTAGAATCACCCAACTGCTCGTGAAGGACTTTCATGATGGCCAAGCAGGTATCCAAACCGATGAAATCAGCCAAAGTTAAAGGTCCCATTGGCATGTTGGCGCCCAACCTCATAGTAGTGTCAATGTCCTCCTTCGAAGCAATACCGGTCTCATATGCAATAACAGCTTCATTAATATAAGGCATCAACAATCGGTTCGCCACAAATCCAGGAATATCCTGGCTGACTGTGCAGGTCTTGCCCATCGCAACTGCCAACTCTTTGGTCGTCAACAACACCTCGTCCGAAGTTGCCAAACCTGGAATGACCTCAACTAATTTCATGACGGGTACAGGGTTCATGAAATGCATACCAATCACCTGTTTCTCACGTCCCTTTGCAGAGGCCGCAATCTTTGTGATACTGATGCTAGATGTGTTGGTTGAGAGAATGGCATTAGCGGGTGTAGCTTGAGCGAGGTCATGGAACAACTTAGCCTTCAGAGCTGGGTTCTCGGAAACAGCCTCGATCACAAAGTCCACATCCGAGAAATCGGCCATGGTCTGAGTAGTCTTCACACGGGCGCGGGTTTCGTCAGCCAGCTCCTCAGTCAAACGACCCTTGGCGATATCCTTCTTGAGAAGAGAGTCTAATTAACCATAAGGGAGTGGTCAATACAAAATAAAATACAGGCGGAGCTAAATGATATCACGTCACGAACTTTTTTGCCCAATTTTCCCACGCTCTCCAAAACGGGAGTTAAATCCTTTTTTTTTTTTTTTCAGTGCTTGGTGCTTACCCATAAACTTGAGACCCTTGCTCAGTTGATTCTCATTTGAATCCAAAAGCACAACAGGAAGTTTGGAAACATTAGCAGCTACCAAGGCAATTCCCAACCCCTATATGTTTATCAATTCCATTATAGAAAAAAAAAAAAAAAAAAAAAAAAACATTGTAGTTTAGCTTTTCCTTGGTCACGAAAGAAACTACTTTCTAAAGATCAATTTTAAAACAGCTACTCTTTTCCTACCATCTGACCGGCGCCGAGGACACCAACACGCTTGACATTGTGCTATGGCAATATGTATTAATAAATACTAATGTGAATCAATGAAGTCTTTCTCTGAATATCACATTCATATTAGCACAGGCTATACAACTTGGGTTGAGACAATTATTATACCAATGCAGCACTAGAGGAATGGAAAGACTATAAAAAAAAGTCAGTGGAATGGTTCATTGAATGAGTGAATGAATTGCGCTTCATCAAACAGATCGGATAATCGAGTCGCACAAAGCTTTAGGTTTGCAAGTGTGAATAAATGGATCAATTGGTACTATTTAAAAAAGGGGGAGAAGAGAAGAAAAAGATACCTTGACACTCCAATGAGAGGAGGCACGAGTAGAGGCAGCACGAGCAAGAGCAAAGGCCATGGTGTTCAGATGGGTGATGTGTGAAATGAGAATTCGAGAAAAGAGTGAGAAGTGAAGAAATTTATTTACATGGCTTGTATAAATAAATCTACAGTTGTGAAGCATGCCCATTTCAGGAACGAACGGCTACAGGACGAGTTTTTTTTTTTTTTTTTTAGTGGGCTGGGTTACTCTTTCGGTCAAGTGATCAATCCCCCTTTTTGCACTTTGTAAAAAATGTATAAATCATAACCACACTTTCAGGAACAAACTGCTCAGCGATACTTTAAATCTTTACTGCTTTACTTTATTTTTATTATTATGATTATTCGTCTCCTATCTCTGATTTTCTAATCATCGTCATCGTCCTCGTCGCTCTCTCCCAAGGCAGACGCATTCACCTAATAGAAATACAGGAATTGTATCGCAAAGGTGGCAAAGATGAGAAGGTGAACAACCCATTAGAAAAACAAATAAAAGAGGAAAGAAAAGGAACACTTACCCATGCTGTTAAATCATCAATACTCTTCTTGGCTGCCAACAGATGCTCCTTGGGAGGCGCACCGGTTCTCGCGAGCTGATCCAACATTGTCAACGATTTCCTATACTTGAGTGCCTTTCTTTCCATACTCGCAATCTCTCGTGTATCAGGATCCTTGGACGGAGATGTCTCATCATCCCCATCGTTCTCTTCTTCTTCTTCTTCTATATCTGAGTCACAATCGCTGGAAAGGTCATCGTCGCAATGGCGTGTGTCGTTCAGGTCCTCGCGAAACGAAATTCGATTCCTGGACATGCTGTTCCCAAGAGACTCTACTGTACTTTCAGAAACTAATGCCATGATGTGTTCCAGGGGGTGCTTTCACAAATAGGATGAAGATAAAATTCTTGAAGATAAAAAAAAAATGTAATAAAAGGTCGACAGAAAGTGCACGTGGAGGAGTTGTGAAGTTTTTTTTAAAGAGGAGCCTATGAAGTATTTCAGATGAAGATGTTAGTATACACAGATGCAAAAAAAAAAAAAAAAAAAAAAAAAGGTTTGTTGAATTCGATATTGCCATTCAATTGTACCTTGTTCGAACTGGATGATTTTGGGATAGCACACTATAAGACTATAACGATGACTGGAATATGAAAAATGGAAAACTTTATCAAACGAAAGGGAAAAGGAGAATGGAAAATGAAAAAGGGGAATGATATTCGTGCACAAGTTTTTTTTTTTAAAAGTAATATAAAATAAAGCGCGTTTGTCGCTTCGATTGCAGTAAGGTGTATGTTAGGGATAAAAAGAAAGGCGCAGACTAAAGGAAGAAAAATAAATTAAAAAAGAGTTGAACAATAGCAAAAAATAATAGGGTATCTTGGAAGGTTGTTTTATGGAATGAAAGATGTTGTGGACATGAAAAAAAAAGAAGAAAGGAAGTAGGAGAAGAGGATGAGTGGATGTATTTATGGAAAAAGACCAAGAAGAGAGAAGAGGTCAGAGATTCGGTTCGTGAGGCTGCGTGCTTTACAGGTGGCACACACAGACGCACGCACAAACTCACATTTTCTCCCGTTGGTTGGACTTCTTCCCGTTTCCCTTCAAAACCCCTTCCAAAACACCTGTGACCAAATCAATCCTCCATTGATCTACTTCTACTTCCACTACAAAAAAGAAAAACGCTGTGTGTGTGTATATGTCAATGTTTGATGTTTGTGAATGTGCATTTATCGCCCATGAGCAATGCGAGAGCATGAACAAAAGGTAACTTTAAAGAAAAATAGGGTGACCTTGTTAAATGGCGCGCAAAAAGACAAACAAAAAAAAGGGATGACACGTCTTGTGACACCAAGGCAACGATACATCCGTGCCAAGGTGTAACCAGCTGGCATGCCACTCTTATCCACAAAGTGATATGTAGAAGTAGCGAAGCTCATCTAATCATTCTTTTATTTGTTTTGTTTATATAGGAATAAGCTACGACAAAAGGAGAAGAAATACTACGATTTCATCTTATTCCCAGTTGGTAAAAGAGGAGGGAGACAACAACACAGCACACGCGCATATTTCTCCCGTCCTTCTCTTTGTCACGCAAGGGCAAGAAAGATCTAGCAAAATAAATTTACTCTCGATGCTGACCATTGCGTATAAAAAAGACATGTGGGATGGTGAATTGACAAATATGCATGCTTATGGTAGACGACCAAAGACGTTAGACTTGTACGGCTTACATATTAATGCTATTAAACCCGAAACATGTCGTTACTTCGTAAAATCTGGACAATAACAACAGCAACAAAAAACTTCCATCCTCTTACGATCGCCGAGCAAGAAATGTAACCACAAAAAAGTAAGTAGATCAAGGCTCATAGCGAACGGCTCGTCGTCTATTAACAGATAAGTTTGCCTTATTTTCATCCTACATTGTAGTGGTTTTTTTTATTTATTTATTATTTTTTTTTACAAAGAACGTGATAGCTTGAGAGCTACAGGGAGACAAACTCTCTCAAACTCATTTTTAAGAGCGCAGTGTAAACGAAGAGCATGAAATGGATGACCAAGCACTTGGAACGAGTTAAAATAATAATATAGCCCGTTTCATTTGGTCACGATACCTTATATTTTTTAAATTGATTGAATAGACTCAAGCGAAAATTGAATTGTATTGAATAGCAACTCTAAATCCGATGTCGTTCGCTACTTGCAAGCTTGGCTCGCTGTCCTCTATTTGCACGCCGAGCGACGGAAGAGGTCAGTGGCTTTGACGTTGAATAACTGTTATGCGTCACTATGTTTTGCTTCCTTACCTTCACTCTAGCTCTCACGCAACACAATCAAACATGATGATCGTCAAATTCACAGAGTTCCATCAAGTAAGTAATAGACTATCTTTTTTTTATCATTTACCTGCGCTTCCTAATTATTTGTGAGTAATCTCTGGTTTCTTACGATGAATAGACGCGGAATCTTTCGATCCAATGAGAACATCGCAGCTTCCTTCTCCCTTTTCTTTTTTTTGACCTTGGAGGTCGTTACAAGGAGACGCCAGATGTTCTGCTGATTCGAACTGGCCACTACCCATAGTGGGGAAACTTTTTGAGCAGGTCTTTGACCTTGTGCAAAAGTTTCAGCCCTCCGGTTTTAAAAAGATTCTGTCAAGCATCTGAGTCTTTTCTTTTTTTTATATTTTCTTTTTCTTTTTCTATGGCTGCTGAGGGATATACGAAGGGACGCCGGATGCTCTGCTGATTCGAACTGGCCACTACCCATAGTGGGGAAACTTTTTGAGCAGGTCTTTGACCTTGTGCAAAAGTTTCAGCCCTCCGGTTTTAAAAAGATTCTGTCAAGCATCTGAGTCTTTTCTTTTTTTTATATTTTCTTTTTCTTTTTCTATGGCTGCTGAGGGATATACGAAGGGACGCCGGATGCTCTGCTGATTCGAACTGGCCACTACCCATAGTGGGGAAACTTTTTGAGCAGGTCTTTGACCTTGTGCAAAAGTTTCAGCCCTCCGGTTTTAAAAAGATTCTGTCAAGCATCTGAGTCTTTTCTTTTTTTTATATTTTCTTTTTCTTTTTCTATGGCTGCTGAGGGATATACGAAGAGACGCCAGACATCTCACTGATTCGTTAACTGCCCACTATTTATAGTGATGGAAACTCTTGGTCTTTGACCCTGGTTTCAGCAACCCAGTCGTATCGAATCTCAAGGGTTCTGGCTCTATTTCTTTTTTTTTTCTATTTTTTTTTCCCCCTCCAAGACATGGTTCCGCCTTGGTTCTTGCTATCTCCTGCCAGCTCGCCAGGTCTGACCACAAGTTGCCGTCTGTTCTCCGTCGCGGAAAATGGATAATATGATTATTTTTTTGCATGGTATTACAAACGCAAGGCCTTTATTCAAACCTACAACATGCAACTCGACATCGAGACCAATTTTAACCATCATATATACTCTGAAGTAATATTAGGCCAACCAAGATTTTACCCATTCGCACACTCGGATTCTTAGCAGCTGTCGGGCCGCGGTTTTTGTCGAGGCGTGGATGAGGATATCGTGGGCAAGACTCTCAACAATGTTTATATTTCGTTGGAATAACAAAAAGCATCAAGCATTAAAGTCGAATAACAAAAAGCACCAATCATTATACTCGAATTGCGCAACAAGAATTATCAGGCAATAAAGCTGCATATTTTCGATAAACCCTTAATATTTATTTATATATATCATGTATTATGCAAAACTTGACTGCAATTATGCCAGCTAATGGCACACATGTCTGCGTGATCATGGTAAGAAAGGCTATATCTTCTGTATGCCATCGATAGCGTTTTCTTCACAAAGCTGCTGAAGTATTCAATTTCTTGCTGTTGTAGATCTCGATCATTAGACTAGGTCATACACTGAAGGCCTAACATTAGTGACGGCTATGGCGGGGTTCAATAAAGGGCTCCCTCTTGACAACAAATAATAAACAACTTTTTATCTTCCTTCACATTCCAGCAAAATTTTTACAATGTCTTCAGCACAATTTTCTTTAATCCCCACAGAACTTAGTGCGGAACAGGCAAGCCGGAGAAGCGAGTCTTTTATTTATGAAGAGTCCAACCAATCCATGTTTTCTCAAGAACATGAGAATGATAATCCCTTCCTCATCAGCATGGATGAAGGTGGTCTTC